CGTATGTGTGATGGATGAGAGAATAGGCAACGGTGTACGTTGTCCTTGTAATTAATAACTTGTTTTTCATACAGATCACGACGACTACAACCCCCGACTCCTGTTGTAATAGCCACGTGCGCTTGCCTTATGGCGGCTACCTATGGAATGTGCTGTGTGTCCATTGTGTCGTGTGGCCCTTGCCGTTCTACGTGTGGCAACGAGGGCGCGGTAGCGGCCGCGCTGGGCGCGTTGCTGTCTGCAACTGGCGTACAGCTTGGCCTACGCCTCTACATTCAGCTTTCTTTTTGCAATGTGTATAGTGGTTTGTGAGTGCCATGCACACAGTTACTGTTTAGCGTTTCTTATGACAATGTGTGGTGAATTTTAGAAGTCTGGAATTCTATGGTTCGCAATACATTTATCTTCATTTCTTTTAATTTTGCAAAGCAGATTATTTATTTGTTTCATGCACCTGTAACTTCTTGCATCTATTCCAATCTTAAATTACTTTAGTCATCTATTTTGTGCAATCGGTGTTGGATGTACTTGAGTGCACGCTTGTGCATCTAACCTAATTGTTTCCATGTCTTTTGCTTGGACTATTGTGTACTTAAAATTTTACATAAAAACTATTTGTAGTAAAATCCAATATGAAAAAGGTTTCAGGTTCAGGTACTAATTAACGCTAATTTTGTATGTCAACAGCCACTGAGAGGTATGCAAACTTGGTGCCTATGCCTACAGTGTTGAAGTCTGTGTGATACGCTAACTTTGTGTCTATGTTAACAGCCACTGAGGGGTATATAAAATGGTGCCTATTCCTAGAGTATTGAAGCTGAGACAGCTTGCTAGTGCTAGTACGCCGAGACAGCTCGCTAGTGCAAGTGCGCCGAGACAGCTTGCTAGTGCGAGTACGCCGAGACAGCTTGCTAGTGCGAGTGCACCGAGACAGCTCGCTAGTGCGAGTACGCCGAGACAGCTTGCTAGTGCTAGTGCTCCGAGACAGCTCGCTAGTGTGAGTGCGCCGAGACAGCTCGCTAGTGCGAGTGCGCCGAGACAGCTCGCTAGTGCGAGTGCGCCGAGACAGCTCGCTAGTGCGAGTGCGCCGAGACAGCTCGCTAGTGCGAGTGCGCCGAGACAGCTCGCTAGTGCGAGTGCGCCGAGACAGCTCGCTAGTGCGAGTGCGCCGAGACAGCTCGCTAGTGCGAGTGCGCCGAGACAGCTCGCTAGTGCGAGTGCGCCGAGACAGCTCGCTAGTGCGAGTGCGCCGAGACAGCTCGCTAGTGCGAGTGCGCCGAGACAGCTCGCTAGTGCGAGTGCGCCGAGACAGCTCGCTAGTGCGAGTGCGCCGAGACAGCTCGCTAGTGCGAGTGCGCCGAGACAGCTCGCTAGTGCGAGTGCGCCGAGACAGCTCGCTAGTGCGAGTGCGCCGAGACAGCTCGCTAGTGCGAGTGCGCCGAGACAGCTCGCTAGTGCGAGTGCGCCGAGACAGCTCGCTAGTGCGAGTGCGCCGAGACAGCTCGCTAGTGCGAGTGCGCCGAGACAGCTCGCTAGTGCGAGTGCGCCAAGACAGCTCACTGCCGCGAGTGCTGAACGTACCAGAACCGTTCGCTGGAGCACGTTTAGCTGGTTGGCCTGCGTCTTCAATGTATCTGTGATACAATCTGCGCCATGTGCACAGTGTTCCTCGGAGTAGACTTGTGTTATCTGTAGCGCGTGTTAAGCTCTAGTAGGAAGCGTTGTATACTAAAATCTGATTTGGACGATGTCTTCATTTCTGCAAAAACTTAGTCTGTATTTCATGGTCAGAAAAGGCCGAGACGGTAAACTTACATTAAAGCCGGTAACGTTACTCTAGGCTTCACACGCGGACGTGTGAATTGTCAGGAAAGGCCGTGTTAGGAATGAGTAAAATAATAAAAGAAAATAATAAAAATTGAGGATGGCAACACGGCTGTGCAGCCATTGTTAGATCGGTCCGTGTTGGCTTCAGAGTAAATTCTCATACGAGTAGCATTATTTTATTTAAATCATTTTGAGAATAGTTTCTAACATCAGAAGTAGAGTAGTTTCTAATACTATCTATCGGCAATAAAGGGTTAAGAGTTGGCTTACAGACACATATTGTGTCATTCGAAATTAATAAATCCAAAATACGGTCTAAGTGATTTCTTATATTGTTATATTGTTTACAGTTTATTGATGATAAAAAGTTAAACAAGAGGGTATCCAAAGAACTATTATTATTGTGTACGCTTGGCATAAGTGCACACGTATCGTGTACATTCCATTCAACGTTTGGCAAATTAAAATCACCATAGATGTAAATATTACCAATAGTGTGACATATTATTTTCTGTTCAAGCAGATTAAATAACATTTCATATGTAATAAGGGTCTGATTTGGTGGTACATATAAGCCGCAAACGATGTGGTATTTATTGTTAAACTTAGAGTAAGACTTTAAAAGTACGTATTCAATATTACGTGGTATGACACAATGGAAATTATCACAATACACAGAACTTAACTCACAACGTATTGCATGCAGACCGCGGCGCACCGCGACTAGAACACCACCACCGTCAGATTTACTGCACAACGCTCTGTTTCTGTCACAACAATGTACTACGTACCGGAAGTCAATGAATTCTTCATCAGCAATGTTAGGAACCAACCATGTTTCAGTTAAAATAATGATATCATAGGACTCGGCTAGAATATTATTGTATAAGGTACTTAATTTTGTTCTTACACCTCGGCAGTTTTGATAATATATTGATAAATTACTAGTCTCTGTATCGAGTTAGAATGTTAATCCATGTTACTAATAGAAATATAAACTCATTAGCCATCATACTTAGTACATCATTTACATTAATAATTATTAGGCCAGCACTTATTAAGTTCGATAAAATGAGCTTGTGAAAATTAATAATACTTACATAACCAACAAAACCAATCACTTGAATACTCGCAGTATATGGAAAATAATTTTCATTACTTGGTAATACATGTACAAATAAACATTGTGGATTAAATGTATCGATAGCAAATATTATGATCATTATGGTAAAAAGTTTGTAATAATGAGTGATCAACGCATACCTTGTCGTAAACACACAGTGTAGTGTACAGATCAGAGCCCGCATACATAACGTCAGTAATGAGTTGAAATTATTATAATGTATTGCGTAATTCACGATAACTTTACTTATACAACTATTAGAGAACACACTTAAAATAATTACATATACGTAATTATTGTTTAGCGATATATGGTATATATGGTATAAGTTTCGAAATGTCCTTTTCTGAGCGAATAGCAATCGCAGGCGTATAATCGTAAGTTAGGAAATCGTTAATTATTATAAATGGATTGGTTATGCTTATGATAATTTTATTCAATGTGGTTAATTTTATTTATTTAATAAATATGTTAATTATTTAATGTATATTAACCATCTTTAAAGCACCGCACACAGAAAAAAACATCATAAAGTTTGGGAGAGAATAGGAAACACTGTTTTCTATCTCATTCTCTCACAGGCTAAATCCTATATAGCCCGATTACACACTCACGCGAGCGGCGAGGCGAGTCACGAGGCGAGCTACGAGGTGCGAGTGAAAACGCTAGCTCGTGGCTTGTCTCGCAGCTCGCCTCGCCACTCGCGGCGCTCGCGTCGGAGCCAGTTTTTTAGGCACGAGGCAAAGCGCCTCGCGAGGGACTCGAGCGTGGTGTTTACACTCGTACTCTCGTTTCAGTTTGTTTACGGCGCCCTTCCATAATAACATTCGAATTGCTTTTGTTTTAAAATTACAATTTTAACAAAATAATATTATTTAATATCGCGTTCACGTGATGACGAAGCAGAAATAATTTGATTGATTAACCTAAATCCGTTGGCAAGTAATTTACGTAAATTGTATAGTGATTGTCGGTTGAAGTGCTTGACAATATTATTTTGCGTCGATGAGTTGCTTTGTGGCATTGGATGTAACTCGGAGATATTTTCCTGTGTCGGTTAAAACGCTAAAATTTGTAACCCGCGAGAAACAGTGTCGTATTAGATTATAGATTTGTCCTAAGGAACGCTGAACTTTGTGACTCGAGAAGGGATCGCGTTCTTGCTCGTGGTTATAATCTTGTTGCTACAACTACTAACATGAAACGGAAGTGAACTTTGATCCACCGTTCATTAGTCGTGCCGTGTGTTACGTTTTTGATTACGATTAACGGGGATTTAGTTGAGTTTGAAGTTAATGAAAAGTACAATAAAGTTGATGGATTGAAATAGTGTACAATAAAGTTGATAAACTGAAATAGTGAAGTGACGTCAAACTTGAGGTCGGACTAAGTGAACTACCACCTTTGGAGAGAAGCAATGCTGGATCTGCGGTCCGACTACAACTTCAAAAAGTCAGGTCAAACACACTACTTTACACTACTTACATGCACCTACACCTACCTACGGCCTGACCAAGCCTTGGGGCGGTCTTAGTTTCGGATCCAGGTACGTACTATTTATTTACTTAGCCTTATCTCTATTGTGTAGGTCAATTGTCCATAGGCATTTTGAGCCCCACCCTTAGTTGCCCGTCGATGGGATTACTCGTGGGCCCTAGTCCCGTCAACCTTTGTTGGGGCAGCTAGGGGCGTGTACCAGATATCATCCACCATATTCTTCCTCAACGACGTATTTTTTTTAATTTCCTTCTTTTTAAAATGGTCAAGCATCGATAAAAATACTTATTAAGGCAAGAGTTGATGCCGCTATTATTTCGACGTGTTTCATCGTTGCTGGCTCAACGCAAGCTGAACGCATCGCGAGACAGATGAAAACAAATCAGGAGATAGGCAGCAGCGTCTTCCTAATAAAGACTAAAATAAAAAACCGCGGTTGGCTACCCGCTTGTCAAGCGTGGCAACTATGGCAAAATCCTGCCATGAGGCAATCTTTGAGAGATAGGCTGTAATTGATGGATGGATAATGGAAAGGGATTCTAAATATACTCACTGTTGTCCGCGTTGTCATCGGTGGTTTTGAAGGGCGCGATGAGTTTGTCAAAGTACGCCAGCGTGGAATCCCGCGGTTTCTTGTTTACGTCGGGCACCATCTTCAAAGCCGAGTAGTCTATTCGGAACTTGGATAGGAGTGACGCCATACTGAAAAAATATGTAAGGGTTAGGAATAGTCGCTACTATCTTTTCTACCGACTTCAAAAAGGAGGAGGTACCTAATTCGACTGTGTTTTTTTACATTTTATTTGAAAGCTTGTGCTTTTCACATGGTAGATGTGAGACCCATATAAATTTGATCAAGGTCTGACCAATATGTTTTTAGTTATTCTTAATAATTTATGAAATGAAGAATGAAATATACTTTATTGTACACTAAAAAATACACATGAGAGAAAAAAAAACACAAATTATTTAAAGGTACAATTGGCGGCCTTATCGCTTAGGAGCGATCTCTACCAGGCAACCATTGCAGAGGATAAAATGACCCGTGAGAAAGGGTAAGGGTGTACGTAGGTTGTTAGAAAATACACACGACATGCATATAATCAGTAAATACATTTTAAATACAAAAATATATACATACATATACGAGAGCAGAAAGGATTAAATAAGTAAGTGAAGTCAAAGCCTAAACGTAAGGAAAAATGAGTAGGTAGTAATTTTTTAGAGGAGGAGGTAATATTTAAGGAGGAAAGAAGTGCGCTTGGACAAGTTTTTTAAACTTATCAATAGATTGCGCACTTCTAATGTGCAGCGGTAGGGAGTTCCAGAGCCTAACAGCTTCAACAGAAAAGGATTTATAATAGAAAAAAATGTTATGAGATGGAATTTTTAGGGTGAGGTTTTTATCAGATGGAAGAGAGCGGCAGTGAGTGTCACCAAGAAACTCAAACCGCTCTTTAGGGGAAGTAGGATTGAATAGTATACAGTATAAAAGAGAAAGAATCGGAAGCCACTTGAGTTTTTCGCGATATTGGGAGACATAGTCATATTTTCGAAGTCCAAATATGAACCGTATGCAAATATTCTGAATGTGCTCAAGTTTATTAAGCAACTCCTCATTTAAATTGAGATAACACATGTCAGCATAATCGAGAATCGGTAAAAGAAGTGATTGTGCAAGCGCAATTTTGGTAGATATGGGTAGAAAATTACTTAATCTACAGAGAGATCCGTCCGACGCAAACACCCTCCTACTTACCTCGCTTACCTGCGGAGCCCAAGATAAAAATGGTGTCACTATATGGCACAGGTGTCCCATCAAATACAATACCAGGTAGGGAAGAAAATCTATAAGATTAACCAATTTTTGACTGCCTATAATTATAGCTTTTGGGTTTGATGGATTTACTTTAAGACCGTATGACTTACTCCAATCCAAAATTAAGTCAAGATCTTTGTATAATAAGCCTATAGTATTGGGTAAATCCATCAATTTGACATGCACATGTACTTGGAGATCATCTGCATACAGGTGGTAGCGAGAAGATAATTGGAGCGTGATCGAACTAATGAAGATTGAAAAGAGGAGAGGAGATAACACGCCACCTTGCGGTACACCGGCATTAATCGTACACCAGTTAGAGAACGAGTCATCTACACGTGTCCGTTGCCGGCGACCAAACAAGTAACTATGAAACCAGTCAATCACTTCAGGAGATATATTAAGAGAAGCTAAGATAGCTAACAGTAGATCAAAATCCACATTGTTAAATGTATTACTAAAGTCAAGTAAGGTGAACACGGTTACGTGCTGTTTATCCATACTTAGACGAATATCCTCTGAAATCTTGACTAAGGCAGTAGTCGTACTATGACCAACACGGAAACCGGATTGAAGAATTGAAAAGACTCCACCTAGATAATTAGATGCTCAATTGTCGATGAACTATGCGCTCAAAACTTTTGAAATGAACGGAATTATGGATATGGGGCGGTAGTCAGAGAAACTGGAGGGATTTGCTTTTTTGGGTATAGGAGTAATCTGGGCTTCTTTCCAGGAAGAGGGAAAATTTCCGGACGAAATGGAATAATTAAAGATGGATTTTATAACAGGAGTCAAGATATCGACAATAGGGATAATCATTTTACGACTAATGCTGTCTGAACTAATGGCATCAGAATTGACCTCAACAATGCTCTTCATTCATCGTTTACTTTTAGTCAAATCACTATCTGTGATTTGACTAAAAGTAAACGCAGGATTGTCAGATTTATTTAAAAATTTTGTACAACTAACTTCAATTTATATTGAAGTCAGATGTATAAAATTTTTAATTATGACGCTTGTCCTTTTGCCAGTATAAAGTAATAAGAAATTATCCTATATAGTACACTTCTTCGTGATATATTTTTGGGAGATGTTAACGGCAGCTTGAGCCAGCAGACAGTTGATGGCGATAGTATCTCAAGGCGTCTAATCGGGCACCTTATATATCTATATCACATTACCATCTGGTACCATAGTGGAATATCTTGAGGTTCACATTACCATTGGAGCAATTAATTCACCGTTCCACTAATAGTTCATATGCGCAGATATTTAATACAAAAAATCGCAATACTTTTACATATCAAAATCCACTTCAAAACATTATTTAAGCAATATAATAATAATAATAATACAGGAGTAGTGTCAAGCTCCCGCTAAAACTCCCTCCCACTTGTCAGTTGCCGGCCTTACTCTTTTGTGACGGCGTATGAGAATCTTTCACCTCTTTTCGTTTTGTAAGTGTCGTAAGGGACGGCTTCTGTTAGAATAATATTATAATTTCCGATTGATGGCGGTATTATTAAAAAAAATATATATCAAATATATTTTTTTGATATTCTTACATTGTCATCAGATTCTGAGCTATATTCAAAATCTGAAGACTTTAGCTCATCGGGAAGTTAGTTTAAAATCAATTAAATTCCACCCGAACAGGAAACACAGAACACGACAGTTAATAAAAACGTGGTAATAGAAAATATTTGTCGAAAATAGAACCTACTTTATGGAAGCCATTTAAAAACTGTTAAACAGAGCAGATAAAATTACGGCTGAGAGGCGTTTAGAACTGCCACTTACTTCCTCTCTTCTATTTCCAGTTCTGTAGTCTTGTTGGCGAGAGTGAACACCCTCAGAGGACAGGAAGACCACGCACGTCGAATCGACAGGATGTACGGTAGAAGGAGAGTCAGTCCTGTTAGTAGATGACAGATTTTTATTAATTTACATTCTTTATGTCGGAGCGTCTTATTACTGATAATGATTAATTACGTAAGTAAGAGAGCAAGTTGAACATCCGCTCTCACACTTTTATTATTTTTAACAATTAACGCTATTTCAGAGGTCAAAATTGGACTCCTCTATTGAATCTCCGATATATATAAAGCTGAAGTGACAAACGAACTTATAGTCCATCTCATGGTAAATGGCTACAGTTTAGAGTTATTACATACATATTGTTGCGCGCCACTATTAATATCTTGTACATGGCAACATTAGTTACACTAGCGCCCTCTAGTTTCGAGTAGCAGAACTAGGAGAGTCAAGATCCTTCTAGAAATTTCGGGACCGATATGTACTCGAACATTCTAGATGTCGCTACAGTAGGAGGTTCTGGAAACTATGTGAGGCGCTATATAAGGCCGGTATAGACCACGACTGCGAACTAAAGTGATTGTGTTTTATTATTAGTGTGGTTTTAGATTGTAATTAGTGTTGTGTAATTAAAGTGTCAATTTTGGTAATTCAATCGGCAGTTTTTAATTGTCTCGAACCCCAAGCTCGTAACAATATAAAGGGAATCTACAATTCTAAAGAAAGGGAGTCAATATACTTGTCTCGCTTTTTCTAATTTAGTTTTCAAATAAGCCCAAAAGAAACAAACCGATTGAAGTGTGTTGCGTGTAATTAATGTATAGAGTTTGTAATGACATGTGGCTATATTTGGTCACTTTATACTATGCTAAATATTAGAGTAAGCACCCACGTTTATCTGATTTGCTAGAAGAATTTGTTATTTTGTAGCATCCTTACTTAATGTAGTGACGACGTGATGATATTATCTTACCTATATCATCCCGCGGGTGCCGTAAGATGCGAAAGAGGGAAATTGAACAGTATATTCTTGATAACAATTCAAAATTATAAAAACTGCGGTTAGCATCGATATATATATACTACTTACTAGATTTCGCATTCCGAACATTCACTATGTTCAACTGAACTGTACTGCAATCCGTACACTAAACTAGATATTGCGTAAATTGAAGATTTGTGAATTCCATAAGATAATTATTATTATATTTTATTTAGAAATATGTTTGTATAGATTAAAATAAGAGTATTTTGTATTAAATAGAGTATTTTGTATTAAATTCTTATATATATTTTATATTACATTCTTATATTTATTTTATATTAAATGAAAGTCTTTGCGCATGCGCGACTCTAATATCTCCCGCGCATGCGCAAAGACATAAAGTAGCGCACAATTTTTGTTTGGCATAACTTCTCTAGTACGTAGTACATATAACTTAATGGCGGTTAGCAACCTATCAACTATGTACAACAAAGGTAGCAACTATGGCTAATATTTTTAAGAGAAATGTGTGCAAACGGGCATTCGGCTCACCTGATGGAAAGTGTCAACCGACGCCCATAAACAACTGCAACACCAAGGGAATAATAGCAGGTGCGTTGCCGGTCTTTTAAAAAGGAGTAAACTCGTTTCTTGAAGGTCCCTAAGTTGTATCGGTTCGGAAAAATCGCCGGTGGTAAACGATTCCACAAAGAATTATGGGCAATATGAGGCAATTTATGTGGAGGCCTTTGTTAAATTTAACGGGCGGTGACGGTGACGGTGACGGTGACGGTAACGGTGACGGTGACGGTGACGATACCTCCGTCGTCGTAGAGCCACCAGACGTCGACGGTGCCGGCGTGCTTGCGCGTGAACTGCTCCACGGAACTGAACGACGACGCGCGTCTGGCAGCGCCCACCGCTCGTCGCCAGTTACGACCGCTTTTGCCGCTGAAATTAATAAATTCATATACTTCATCATATATTATCCATACTTTGCGCAAATTAATTTAATAAATTGGTTCTTCTGATGAACAACACTGCTTGCTAATCCGTACAATCAGCAAGCTGTGCAAAGTGCGTGCAAAGTGCATGCAAAGTGCGTGCAAAGTGCATGCAAAGTCTTTATTTTAGCGTATTAAAACCTAAAATAAAGACTAAAATCATTTTTAACATTGTAATTAGAAAAATTACACATACGTGTCTTTCTTTTCCTGTGCCGCGTCAGGGTTAGCCGCCGGGTCCTTCGACACACCCAAAGACAGATCCGATATGCTGCTACCTGAAAAATAACATTGTTCAATTCTTTCAATATTAGCTTCTTTTGCATAAGACATAAAACAGAACAATTTATAACATTTAATATTCCCGACGTTTCGAGTACTTTACAGCACTCGTGAAAATTAAAAATTTTAAACTGAAGGTAGCCGTGGTTTTTTTTTTTTTTTTTTATAGTAGAGGGGGCAAACGAGCATGCGGCTCACCTGATGGTAAGTGACGTCCGCCGCCCATGAACAACCGCAACACCAGGGGAATTGCAGATGCGTTGCCGGCCTTTTAAAAAGGAGTAGGCTCTTTTCTTGAAGGTCCCTAAGTCGTATCGGTCCGGAAAAATCGCTGATGGTAATCGATTCCACAAGGAAGTCGTGCGAGGAAGAAAACATCTTCTAAATCGCACAGTGGTGGACCGCCAATCATCCAGATGGTGTGGATGGTATCGGGAGTTCTGCCGCGATGTGCGTTCATGAAATTTGGCGGCTGGGATTAATCCGAACAATTCCTCAGAGCACTCCCCATGGTAGATGCGAAAGAAAATGCAAAGAGATGCAACATCTCTTCGCAGTGCCAATGAATCGAGCCGATCGGAAAGGGCTCGGTCGTCGACGATTCGAGCCGCTCTGCGCTGGATGCGGTCAAGTGGAAGGAGCTGGCACTGGGGAGCCCCTGCCCAGAGATGGGAACAGTATTCCATGTGAGGCCGAACCTGCGCCTTGTAAAGTTGCAGGCGGTGTGCCGGCATGAAATACTGTCCCGCTCTGCTGAGCACGCCAAGCTTTTTAGAGGCCAATTTGGCCTTCTCTTCCAAGTGACCACGAAACTGCACGTCACTCGATATGTCGACTCCGAGGATACCAATACTGGCTGAGGCAAGAAGGGGAGTGCCTTGAAACTGAGGAGATACGACAAAGGGGTTCTTTTTAGCGGTAAACGCGCAAACTTGTGTCTTCTGAGGATTAAACTGGACTAGATTTAGTCGCCCCCAATCCGAGACTTTGTCCAGCAAAGACTCGACTTCAGACACAAGTTTGTTCCGGTACTCGGCGACGTTTTCCCGAGAAATATTGGCCCGGCCGGTGTATAGAGCATCACTATGTTATCTTCGACATTGTGTGTGAAGTACTCGAAACGTCAGGAATATAAAATAACTTTCCTGGGACCACGCTCTCGCAGAATACCAGCGTAAAATAGCATTTAAATAAAACTAAATTTACGGATTTTATCGCGTATAATAACTTTTTTTAATATTTCGACGTTTCGGGTGCTTTCCAGCACCTGTGGTCACAGGGGACTGAGGTGTTTGACGTCTTGCCGTCACAGTTAGCCTGGCTACCTTCAGTTTTTTAATATTAATATTAAATAAGTAGTAAAATAGCAGCTTAATGCTGCTGTGTTTCGTATGGTGAATGTAGAGAATCGACAATTCTTTTTACTGGAAACACGAGCCATTCCATCTTAGTCGTCAGGGGTGACTACGCATTCTGCGTTTTGATTTTTAATCGAGAATAAATGTGGATGTCTATGGGCCAGAGCATCCACTTACTATTGATTGGACTGTGTGCTCGTTTGTCAGACTTTTAATTTTATAAAAGAAAGTTAATGAACAAGATAAAATCCATAAAATTTCATTCAACACTACACGTGTTCAGAAGAAACCTTCGAAGAAGGCTTCGCACTGGTCATAGTAATATCTGGATCTCAAAAACAGCACCACCTACCGGATCCAATTGTAAATCTAAACCATCCAGGACACGTACAAAAGAATTATATATACATAAAGAATATAAAATTATGATAAAATTAGATGTTAGTCAAAAATGATGACAGCATTATCTAATAGAGTGATTAATGATCAAACTCACCTCGTGAATGTGTGTTGAGGCTCTCCGTTGACTTGGACCCCTTGTAGCTGTCGCCCATCGAATCTGCGATGAGTCGACGTGAAAAACGGTGAGCACAATCGAAATGCGACTTGTTATTAGCGAATATACTTTGAAGCGCAATGGATTACACAAATACAAAATGGCGCGGTGCTTTCACGTATGTATGTGAACAAACATTCGTGTATAGATAATATCGGCTACAACTTGAGCTCTGTGTCTTGTCTTGTGCGTCTTACATGTTTCTCAAATGACACAATATTATCGTTTTTACCCGATTACGGAGGGAGGGGTTTATTTATGTACGTATATATGTTCGTGCCTCTAGGGACTACGCAACACGCGTGGGCCTATTCGGATGATTCTTATGCAGGGTGGTGATCTTTGTTTAAAATCCGAGAAAGCACACAATCATAATTTTGTCTATGCGTTGGGCGTAACAAAATAAAGCGAGAAAAATATATCGCTGTTTCGTTCCTTCGCGTTGCTTCAGATTGCCATTTTAAAAATTCATATTATATCGTATGAAACTGAAAATGTTAAATCTGTGTTAAACTTTTTGTGGTTTGCTCCTTAAACTATAATTACATACACATTACTCTGAGATTTGCAAATTAATTTACCTATTATTTTATTAAATATTAGCAGAATTCCATCAAAAGAAGCCATGAATTAAAAAAATGACGTTTATTTGTCAACATCTTTCATAATTAAAATATTTTCTGAGATTTATTTCATAGGTTTAGATTTTAATATTTATTATTGAATTTTGCTTAAACTCAGTTATTATCGGCTCAGAATATTTCGTTTTCGTTTGTAGACATTTCCCTGCGAATACACAGTCATATCGTCGTGAATATACAAATATATTATATTAAGATTTTTTGTGCGATGTTGACTCTATAAAAAATATATAAACTATAAATGAATTCATTATTTTAAATTTTAAACAAGATATGTGATCATAATCGAAAGTAAGTTAAGTGCTGTACAAATAAAAAGCACAAAATAATTTTCCGCAGGTTTCCTAAAATAGGAAAGGGAAAACTTATGACAATGTTGTTGTGAGTCTAATTGTATTTGTTTCAGATAACTTATTTGGACTGAGTAAAGTTTTCGCTATGAGAATTTTGCTGATTTAAATTTATGTTAATGTTCTTTGAAGAATAACTCTCTGACAATAACACGTGTTATACCTATATATCAGTAACAAACGTGGAAATATTATGTGTAAAAGCAATAAAAACATCAATAATAATGTATAGTTTATAAAACAATATATCTTCCAGAAAATAAAATTACATAACTATACCTATTTATTGTTTTATTTTATCCCACATACTAATCTAAAGTATATTCGAGTAATGTTGGTGCAACCTCTCAAATGTATGGGAATTTACCTCATAGGTTTGTGAGGCTTGAGCCGAAATTTCTCGATTTCTCGTTTCCTTGGTGGAACACTAAGCTAAAGGAGCTTAGGGAAAAGACCAGGAAACTATTCAGTAGGGATAAAAAAAACAAAGAGTGGGATATTTATAGTGCAGCCCTAACCGAATATAATAAAGAAATTAGGAAAGCTAAGAGAGCATCGTGGAGGAAGCTATGCGAGGAAGTTGATAATGGGTATTATTAGTATTTTTAACGCAGTCGGCTTTTATTTTAAAAAAAACCTTGTTCGCGTATGCTCAAGTTGTTTGCCGGCATTTGCACATACACACATCAACAGAATCTAGGGATACCTTAATCCTAAATTATTTACGACTTTATAGTTCAAAATCTTTTTAGTTTCCATAAAAGGTTTACATACAGGTTGAAACCTCTTTTATTCTATTTTACAAATTTAAAAATGTAGAAAAAGGCAAAAGAAAAACAAAATACGGCGGCAAAATTGTTAATTTAAATTGTTCTACTGATATTAATTAATGAAAAGGGATTAGATTGTTTTTCTTTTTTAATTTAACGTGTTGTGTGAGCTTTAAGAGTCATGTCAAAATTAAATGTTAGGAGCCGTGGGCATGTTAGGAAAGGGTGTTATTCAACGCGTCGTTGCTGAGGCCCTACACACCAGCCAAAACGTGATATCATGGTTGTGGTTACGTTATTACAGTACTGGAGATGTGGCTGAACGGCACACGGGTAGATATCGTGATACTACGCAGAGACAGGATCGATTTCTTCAAATGACCTCCAGAAGACAACCCAATATTACAGAGATGCAACTACTACAAAGGCTCCAGGAGGACCAACAGCTGCTGGTAAGCGAGCGACCAAACCGTGCGAGTTGCACGAAGTTGGTCTTCATGCTCGAAGACTTCCACCACTGCGACGTGGCAATCGCGGTCGGCGGCTTTCGTGGGCTAGAGAGCATTTACCATGGAGTGACGAACAATAGTCTTTAGTGTTGTTCACCGATGAGTCCCGGTTTAGGTTTCATCCGGTTTCACGAAGAATACGCGTTTGGAGAACTCCAAGGAGAGTTAGCCATCTACGGCACCCTCAGGAGGTCCACTCATACCAAGGCGGGATAATCATGGTGTAGGTAGGAATTCGTCTTGGCGGACGAACCCAGCTCGTTTGAATCCAAGGCAGTATGACTGCACAAAATACCACGAGGAGGTAGTAAAGCCTGTTATTGTCCCACACAGAATCCAAATGGGCTAGGAATTTTTACTCATGCACGATAATGCTCCTTCCCATACGGCACGCCTGGTGTCGGCCGCTCTCCGAGAACACGATATTCAAATTTTGGATTGGCCTGCACAGTCGCCCGAATTAAATCGTATCGAGCATGCCTAGGACATGTTACAACGAAAAGGTTTGAGAGATTTCCCGCCAAATTTGACGACGGAACAATAACTTTATTTACAAAGAATATGGGACCTCATACTGCAGCAAGATATTGACAATTTAATTTTAAGTATACCTAACCAATCGATATGGATGTGTAATTAATGTAAGAGGTGGCAACATTGATTATTAATAATTAGATTTTATAAGATTTTTTTAATTAAAATTAATAGTTTTATAAGAATAAATGAAGTCTATACTAATTTTCTACGACGATTAATAAATTAACATTTTTATTTGAAACAAAAAAATTACGAAATATTTTTATTATTTATTAAAGACCTTTAAATAACCTCCATTTACTATATCAAAAAATTCTTCATATTTTTTTTTAGATATTTGATGAAATATAAAATATCCCTAGATTCTGTTGATGTGTTTGTTTATACATACAATGCGTTTAAAATGAACACAGGAATGATATATCGCCATATTACGATGCGATAATGTTTGCGTAAACTTAAAACTACTATGTGTACACGATAGCAATAGTATGGAGCGTAGAAGTAAGAAGAACTATCTCATATGGGGGACAAGGTGAAAGTGTCCAGCAGTAAGCTGTAAATAACAGTTCAAAAACCTTCCAGAATGGCGTTAGCGTAGATACAGGGCATGGTATGGCTGTAACAGTTGTAGATGGATTGAAGAGTGCTGAGTTAAAAATATATATTTTAGCGTAAACGTAGTACAGTTTTTTTTAAATATAACCTAAAATAACTGCTGTAAGAGAGTGATTTTATTTTTGTGAACATCAAATGCGTTTAATATTTTTTTTTTACAGTGAACTGTCATAAAACTTTTTAAAATAGTTCAAATGATTTTTTTTTGTTTTTAAAATTTACCCTGCCGCTATTGTAGCGCCACCCTAAAATAACGCGTTTCGACGGACACTTTTTCATACGCAGAGATAGTCCTCCTTACCTCAACCCTCCACAAGCAATAGGAAGAAACTATCAATAAATCTGTCAAACTGAAATTTTGAGTCGCATTGCGTACTAACTTCAATTGTGCGTGCGTTATTTAGGATGAGCAAAGAAATATTTTCTTTTCCTCATTGATTACCGCCTATCAGAACTCCACGACTGAACATAGTCCCTCCCATAGTTTGCCAAAAGGCACGGTCCTTAGACTTTCTTTCTGTATGTTGTGAGGAGTGGGGGGGGGGGGGTTTCTACATTTCCATTGTCTCTACTGCCACTATATAATCTTTCTTAACCATTGGTTATCGGTTTGTCGAGCTGTATGGGCTGGTCCATAGCCACTTCAGCTGGCTGATCCGCTAGTCCGTAGTTGGTTTCGCTCGTATTCTCATCAAAGTAAAAGAAAAGCGATACATTTACAACTCTAGACGTAGTACACCGTGCGACAAACAAGCAAAGTTCTTACGAACTAATACATTAACGCTAGCACATAGTGTGCACATAAGTTAATTGACAAACATTTTACAAGTTTCATTTGGTATAGATACAAACAGAATAACATAAAGAGCTCGGACTTAGAGGATATGCAAAAATCTAATGAAGTTTCAAAAGCTTTCATTCGTTACTATGTTATTTGTGACACACATAACTAAAAATACATTAAGTTACGTCTTTTGTCTCTTTAACAGTACTTACGTGAGAAAGCACCGGCGTCGGTAAGGTTCAAATCCTTCAAGCAAGCGCGAAGATCTTCATCCAAAGCATCATCATTGTACAATCCTCCCTCCACTCGCAGCAGAGCGAGGGCCATATGTACGTCGAGGGCTTTGCTGTAGTGATAAAATAATAGTATATTTAATAGCTGTTAAATATGTAGGTGTTCTATATACCAGGTGGTAGAAGCCCTTTTCTGCTTAGGATTCCGTCTGAAAAAATAAAGAAAGGAAGAAACGCGAAGCAAATACAAAGAGGAGATGGCATAAGCAACTGTGCACTGTGATTATTACTAGGTTCTGACGTCATCACAGTAGGCGTGGCTTTACTTAGTATACTGTCAGCGTTCATCCTGTGCGCTTATGTGTCGAAAATTGCAAATCGGTGTATTTTGTAGGATTAAGAAGAAAAAGATGAACTGTTGCGTTTTAACGTGTAAAAACTAGTCAGATAGACGCTCTGATGCTGTGGATGGCATCAGATTTCATTGGTTAGTAATTTTATACCTAATTTATTAAAAAGTTTCTAGAAAAATCACTGCATCTGCTTTCAAATGTAATTAAATATATTCGACACTAGATGGCGACACTTTTTGTCATGGGAACTAAAAATATAAAGGTACGTAGAGCTCAGTATTGGTAAAATAATCATACGAAAGTGTTGAAATTTGTTTTGCATTCAGTCTTAAAGAATTTTTAATCGCCAAAATATTATTTTTATAGTTTACATATTTATTATGTGAACAGGTCGCCATTTCTATCGTCTAGGTAGCTAAACCACATTGCAACATCGATATGGAACGATGCAAGTAGTTTTACTATTTATCGGTAGAACGAAAATAGTAAAGTAGGTGGGGCTTAATATCCCCTCACCCCGCAAATTGTCACGCGTTGTTACATAGTGAAATCTAATTACAACACCTCCTCTTTTTATTTGCTCCGTGAGGAGAAAGAAGAAAGTAAAAACATATTTATATGTTGGTGCAACTTGCAGAACATCTATTTTACAAACAAAAAATACATAACTAAATATTTAAAAAAAATATTGCATCAACAAAAAGGCCACCGACCCAGCATAATGCTACAGTAACAGAGTTACCGCAGCGCTAATATTCTGTCGTAGCCACATAAGTCGACTTGCGAGCAATCTCTGGACATAATTTGGTACCTATTTAATAACTTAATGATCACAAAGTTAAGAATAAATCTAATACATAGTTGTATGTATTAATGACTAGCTGATACTCGCTCGCTTCGCTGGGCGCACGATAATAGACGATAATAATGTAGATATAAAAAAATCAAGATTTTTTATGGGACTTTCGTAAAATCCATTCTTAGTGAGCGAAACGAGTAATTCTATACTAAATTCCAAGTCGATCGGGTGTATAGTTTTAGAGATATCGTGATGAGTCAGTCAGTCAGTGGTATTTCGCTTATACGTATAGATTATGCACATTAAACTAGCTAACTTACACTATGCTAAGTTTCTGTAGTCAGTGCTAAGTCTATGTTAATATTAATCTATGATACAAATTGAAAGCCTATGGACGTTTTCATCAATACCACTCTCTTACGAGGGCGACACTGAAAGTTTTTAGAACTGACCAATTGTAAACGATATAATAAAAAAATAAGTTCAAATTTTGAAAAAGGAACTCTGCCAATATTATTGTGTATGTATTTTTTTAATTTGTAATTTTTTTACGATTTGTCGGCAAATTGGAAATTGTTTGTGTCACGTCAGCATGAATTTAACGCAACAAAATTATCGTACAATGATTTTTTAAAGACTTTCGATGTCATTTAAGTCAACAAGAAAGTTATGATAGACTTCGATTGGCCTTTCACGATGAAGCCCCATCTCGTGCCACTGTTTACAACTGGTTTAATGAGTTTAAACGTGGTCGCACTAATCTCACCGATGATCTGCGTGAGGGACGGCTTTCTACGGCGACGACTGAAGATAGCATTGTGTGGCGTATGATAGACTGACAAAAGAGTGACTTATCAGCAGATTCGGACAAGCTTAGGCATCGGTATGAGTCAAGTGCACAAAATCCTCCATGAACATTTAGGGGTCAGGAAGCTTTGTGCCCGGTGGACACCTCATAATTTGAGAGAGGTCCAAAAACTCCGTCATGTTGATTGGTGTCGTGAAATGGTTCAAAGATTTAACGGAGGTGACTCAAATGCTGTGTTCGATATACTTAAGGGTGACTAAAGCTGGATTTATTGTTATGATCCTGAAACTAAGAGACAGTCTGCTGTCTGGGTGTTTTCTTCCGAGGAGTTGCCAACTAAAGTGAAGAGAGGTTGAAGTGTGGGGAAAAAAAGATGGTGGCCTCGTTCTTCGCAAGGACAGGTCATTACCCAACAATTGCTTTAGAGGATCGAAAAACAGTTACTGCAGAGTTGTACACTAACAAATTTTTGCCACTTGTCTTGGAAAAAGTTCGGGAGAAACGACCTCGCAGTAGGATCCTCCTCCACCACGACAACGCCTCGTCGCACACCGCCAAGCAAACAATCGACTACTTGGCGACGTCCGGCCTGGAATAGGGTCACCCGCCCTATAGCCCCGACCTAGCACCTTGCGATTTTTATTTATTTCCGAAAATAAAAGAAAAACTTCGACGAAAACGGTTTATGGACGTAGAGGAAGCAGCGGCTGCGTTTCAAAATGCCGTCGAAGAGACCCCTAAGGACGAGTGGGCAAAGTGCTTTTCTCAGTGGTTCCATCGGATGCAGCGATGTATTGATATAAATGGATACTATTTTGAAAAGATATAATAAAACTAATAACTTGGTAGCTTGTTCAGTTTTTGATTTTCTAAGAACTTTCAGTGTCACCCTCGTACCTTTTTCTTCCACCAAATTGCAGTGCATGCAAAGCTTTGTCCGATCTGAAGATTGAAAAGAGCCTGTATAATTACAGGCTGCGAGGTGATCCATTTGTCCTCGACTCCGTGGCGCAGTGGATTAGCAATGAGTTGCTGCGCTGGGGGCCACGGGTTCTAATCCCGCACGGAACAAGTATTTGTATGGTCTGCAAATAACTATTCCGGGTCTGGATGGTTGTCTTTGTGCAATTTGTGTTTGTAAACTGCCTCCACGATACAGGAGAAAATCCTAGTGTGGGGGTAACTTTTATTAAAATAAGAAAAAAAAAAGATCCTGTAGCCTGTAGCCTTCTTTATTTGAAATTAACTGCAGATGTTCATGGGCTGTAGAAGCCACTTACCATCAAATGGCCTATAGCTCGTTTGTCACTTCAATTTAAACTGGTATTCTTTGAGAACGTGGCCTTTCCCCGGTCCGAACCGATTCGTGTCGTAACCATAATATAGCTTTAGCGAGGTTCTACCACGTTAACAATAATAAGAAGAAATGTTCTCGATTGTCGGCTTCGTATTGTCATACAAGCCAGCTGTAAAATCCCTGACCTCTGGCCTGGTACAGTGATTGGTATTCTGTGTGTCAAAATTGGTCATATAACATAAATAATATATTTAAAAAACAAAACTCACTGCATGACCTCCACATAGTCGACAATTTCAGAGCGGTCGCAAGTCTGCCAGTCCTCTTTGAAGCCCATCATCAGAATGTTTGGTTTCAATTTGCCCAGTCCGCTTGCCTGGGAATTATTTAGCAATATTAGAAGTTAAATTTTTTTTTACATGTCGGTACGGCGATTTAAGCCCAAAAATAGATAGGCTCCCAAGGCTGTTTGCCGTGTAGTGGCGATGTAAGAATATCCACTACCCCCATATCATCCCGTGGGTGTCGTAAGAGGGAAACATACCATTACATGGGCAGCAACATCTTCCTAATAACGACTAAAAATAAAAAAAAACTGCGATTACCAATCCGCTAGGCAAGCGTGTTGGTAACCGCAGTTGGTAACAAGAGTGGCAATTAGGGGGGATCCCTATGAGGCAATCTATGGGGGAGGCTTAAGTCCAGCAGTGAACTTTAATAGGTTGTAACGTAACGTTTGTTTGGGTGACTGTACTTTTCTTTTTTCTTTCTTAAAGTTCGAAACCGTTTAGTCATTTTTATGTGACATTATTATAAAAGTATGTTTCTAAAATTTAATCAACATAATATACAAAATGTATACCCATCTATTATAACTGAAATGAAATTACAAATCTATTTATTTCCCCAACGCATTAAACTAATATATTTCGTTTGACTTTCGTTTTAAATTTACCGTTGCAAAATAAAGTTCTACTGATCGAAGAAGAAACGGCGAAAGAAGCTCCTTAGATATCCTTTGTTCTAATATTTTTAAAGCCAACAACTATAGTTCATAAAAAATGAAATGAAATAGAAGCCCTAAAGTTATGATCACAAATTTTACTCTATTGCACAATGCAATGAAAGCCAAAATCAAATGTTTGAAATTAATATGCGTTTTGTGAGAAAATTCAGTCACCTGTTATAAATCAAGTGTCAAACCCACCTGTATGAGAGCACTAGCGCCATCTTTGAAGGAAACGTCGTCAACGATGCTGTAGAAAGCTTTTATTTTCCGCTTCACAAACCAGTGATAGGCGCGGTTGGTTAACGCCTCGCGAGTGCGGTGGTTTATCTGACCCTGTGGTTAAAAAATTGTAAGGATACCCACTGTTGCAATGTATTAAAAGAACAGTAGCCAAAGGATAAGCCATTGCCAAAAAAATTCAAAGTACGTGAAGTGGCGGTGTAAGAATATCCACTAGTCCACTACCCCATATCATCATTAGGAGATAGATAGCAGCGTCTTCGTAATACCGGCTACATATAAAAAAATGCGGTTCCCAACTCTCTTACCAAGCGCGGCAGCCATGGCAAATATGAGGCAATCTACGAGGCCTCTGTTCAACAGTGTACTTTAATAGGCTGTAACGAAGCAAACGTTCAATTGTTAAAATTGTTATTAATATTGCAATGATACGTGATGATTTACCACGTGCTGAGCAGTGAAGGAAAACATAGTAAGGTAAACTGCATGTCTGAGAATTTAAAAAATTTTTCAAGGCGTTTTCCCTTGGAAACTCATTAAAATTCAGTGTGGTCAATTCTTCTCTGTTCTAAAAACTGTTTCAAAAATAAGATGAGAACATTGGCCAGTAGAGAAACGTAAAGAGACTATTAATGCACTTTTTTAATACTTAATAGTTAGTTCTAGCCGGCTAGAACTAGGTGCGGCCAGCAGTAGTTGGTTAAATTTAGGTGTACTGTTAAATTTGTAAAAATACAGAAATAAATATCAAGCAACAACAGCGATAGTAGGTTAAGGTGGATCAAGGGCCACCTTAAAACTACAGATATTTATCTAATCTATAAATTATCTATGATACACCAACCGCAATCGACGGCTACACCTAGATGTATCCGCACTTCAGCTATTAGCCACAACATACACACACACACATATATATAATACTGAGTATATACACTCATAGATATATAGATAATACTGACTGCCACCACGGCTTAGGATAATCTATCTCCTCATTTCGTGTCTTGGATATCGTAAGTTGACTTGGGATACGCTAGAAAGATTCTATTACTTCCGATACAATAGATAGATGGCGTTGTAACAACCTCGTTTACGCCAAAGGTAAAATACCCACACCGGCGACGGGAAGCAGCAAGCGAGACGTCTGCTACAACGATTATAAATTCGTCTTCCAAGCGTGACAATAAAGGCAAACCCTCGCTACAACGGAACAGGCAAATATTCCGCGACGGAATGTACGGGCTGACGATGAAAAAGAATAAGAATTGGTCAAAATATACCTGTACAATATGACCGCAAAGCATAAGCGACAATCCTTTGGTCAAGAGATACGCCAAGTCGCTCAGTATCGGTCTTTCACCGGGAAATCCTGTCAGCACCAATATCTGTGGCCTGAAATTACACTCTATTTAAAATTTTCTGTACAAAGTTTTTCTAAATTCATCAAGTTCGTTCTACTTTAGGAAGCACCTAATAAGTTTAATGATAGCTAAAATCTCTTGGAAAAACCTTCTTTGTGATTTCTAATATTTACGCGAACACTACACGTCGAGTAAAATGACTTTTACGAATTATATCGCGTTTAATTAACTTATGTTTTATTAATTCCCGACGTTTTGGGTACTTTACAGCAACCATGGTCACGGGAGACTAAGGTGACTGACGTCCCGATGTCAAAGTTAACCAGGAGTACCTTCAGCTTTTTTAATTATTAATTTTGGTCCGATCTACGCAGAATGAACTTACATTGTCTTGAAGTTTTGCAGTGGTATGCTTGGGTTTAGCTTTAATTTTATTAATTACAAGATCCCAAGCAGGTGGTAGTACTCAGCCTCCCTCTCCATTGAAATTAGGATGTTTTGTATCCTCATCCTTCGCAGGAATCGATGTTCTTCGCGAGAATTTGTGGTTTATCAAATCTAATATAATCGCGGGGGCCGTCTAGGACATTCCGGAACGCCGGTGATTCACGTCAGTTATGTGTTCTTCCCCGTGACCATGGGTGCTGTAAAGTACTCGAAACGTCGGAAATTAATGATAAAATAAGTTTATTAAACGCGATAGAATCCGTAAAAGTAGTTTTATTTAAAACCTTCATAGATTAATAGTGCGTAAGTTATTTTAAATTAAAATATTTCGTCCTTCGAACCAAGAGAGACAAAGGCTATTTCATCGCAACATTTATATGTAAGTTACGTAAATAAATAAAATTTCAAAGGGTTATTAAGACTATATTTGTAACAATAAAGCGTCTCCCACACAGAAGCGGCTTGCGGTGGCGGTCGCGGTGGCGGCCAGTTGTATTCGTTTGCAATGTAAGTGAGTCTGCAAACTCGTGCGGCCATGGCGCGGCCTGCGAGCGGCTGGCCGCGGCCGCATGCTCCGCCCCTGCCGCCAACGCGTGTGTGTTAGCGAGTACGCGGTCAGTCGGTGGCCGCAGCGCGGTCAATTGTAAATTTTTACAACTGGCCGCGTGTACCGCGTCAAAAATGGTGCTGTATTCAGAGATTTTAATAGAAACAGTGCAAAATTATCCAGTACTTTATGATAATTCGCATCGTGATCACAAAAGCATTAGTATTAAAAACAAAATATATGATAATATTGCTGAATATAATAAGACTTTGTCACGGTTTGTCATATTTACTGACGTCCGATCGTAGCACAGACACCACAGCGAATGGCGCTTCAGGCCGCCACTTGGGCCGCGGTGGTGTGTTGTTACTGCGGCTGCAGCCGCGCCCCGCGGTAAGCCGCCACCGCAAGCCGCTTGTGTGTGGGAGACGCTTAATGCAAGTGTCACCTGTAATTCTTGACATGTTCAGTGATCCTGTTAAGCTGGTGTGCTGCAGACAGCGCGTTCTTGTAGGTCTGTGCTTGAGTAGTTGATCCCCAGTTCACATCTATAGAAATAATTCCAACGTTATCCATATATATATATAAATAGAATTGTGATGTCTGTCTGTAATATCAAAATAACTGCTTTATATTTAACTGAGGGGTTGTTTGCATGATATTAAGACATCGATGACCATTTTCGTAATTTTTGTCTGCCTGTTTGTTTGTTTGTCTGTGTCTAACTGTCCGAGCTAATTGTCGGAATGGCTAATCCTCTAAAGAATGTCACAAAACACGGTCCTGAGCCACCTGCATCCGTCAACCTTTTGCATGTCTTGCCAGGTCGTCACTCCATCTAGTGGGAGGACGCCCTACACTTCGTCCGCCGGTACGAGGCCGCCACTCGAGAACCTTTTTTCCCCATCGGTGCGATGTTCGATGTCATATTCCTGCAGTAGTTAAATCCATCTCGCAACATGTCCTTCTGGATTTTTCAACTGCAATAGCCATTTCAGTGCAACATGGTAAATGCTGCAACGACTTTACCACAGCAAGCAATTCCCGTCTTGTGACACAATAGTTCCTTTCCGGCTTTTACAACGACTTGCTGAGGTATGCCTATCACAACCTCTTGATCACCATTCCGTTGAGACAACACACCGCCAAGTCCTATATCACTTGCGTGTGTGTCAACTATAAATTCCTTGCCAGCATCAGGGTACCCCAAAATAGGTGTTTTGCACAGACGGTCCTTGAGCTCCTGGAATGCGATATCGCAACTTTCATCCCAGTAGAATAGTCGCTTTTCCTCGGTTAACTTGTGCAGGGGTTTGGCTATATCTGCAAAGTTTTTTACTAATCGCCGATAATAGGAGCACAAAACCAAAAATGCTCTAACCTGCGTCTTGTGTTTGGAACCGGCCAATCCTTGACAGCGGCAATTTCCTCTGGATCCGTGCAGATACCTTCTTCCGTCACTACATACTCCAAAAAGCTTCTTCATGAGCACGCGTTCCAGGTTTTGAAGGTGTTCCTCAAACGTACGATGATGATGTCTTCCAAGTAGACCAGACAGGCATCGCCTTTTAGCCCGGTAAGTACAAGCTCAATCAACCTTTGAAACGTTGCTGAAGCATTGCACAATCTAAACGGCATAACTTTAAATTGCCACAGACCCTTTTCTGTCGAGAATGCAGTTTTCTCCTTGTCCTTAAGGTCAATTTCAACCTGCCAGTAGCCACTTTTCGGGTCCAGCGTGCTAAAACACTTTACTCCTATAAGCATGTCCGGCGTGTCATCAATTCTTAACAAGGGATAGCTGTCCTTCTTCGTAACGTCGTTCAGACGGCGGTAGTCAACACAAAACCGCATGCTGCCGTCCTTCTTCTTTACCAGCACCTCAGGTGAACACCATGGACTAGACGAAGGTTCAATAACACCATCCTTCACGATTCCCTCAATCATAGTTTCCACTTCCTTTTCACGTGCTATCGGCAATCTTCTTGGTCGCTGACGGATAGGCAAATCTACCCGTGAGTTTATTTTGTGTTGAACTAAGCCAGTCTTTTCTATGTCACCATCATTTGACGAGAAAACATCGGCGTACTTGAGTAACAACTTCTTTGCCTTGACCATTTCATTCGGGGAGAGAACGCTGCAACAGTCTTGTAAAAGTGTGGTTACTCTCGTTTGTGCATCCTTGCTAGGGGTCCCAGTAGATAGATATTGGCACCGACGCAACCAATTCACTTCCTCACTAGTACCAACCAATGTGCCTCTTTCTATTTCCTCCAGTGTATTAACCTCACAGCAGCTCTGACTTCAAGGTCGCGGATGCCGTCGATGAATGTCTGCAGGTTGCCTACAATGAGCGCAGGTACAGACTGGTATGCTATTCGAACCAGCTTCTCCACCGTAAGGGCCCACTGCTGCAGGTTTTCGTTACTGCGTTGCACGCGATCTTTGAGCTGCGCACGAAAGACGTGTTCCAGGTCAGCGTCGCCATATCTCGCCTCCAATGCCTCAAGGAGCTGCTCATAAGTCACTTCCTTACCGAGAGCTTTCAGAACAGTTAAGGCCTGATCGCGTAGGCCTAGGGTAAGAGCAGTCATGGCCAGACTTTTATTCCATCTGGTCGACTTCATGACAGCTTTGAACTGGATTTTGTAGGCCGACCAGGAAGAAGTCCCGTCAAACGGGGGCACTTTGATTTCACGTAGCGAATGTGTTGTAGCTACCACGGGAGCTGTAATACCATCCCCAAGTTTGAGGTCGTCCAGCGTTTTCTTCATGTCAGCCATCACGTTGTCAACCCGATTGTTGATTTGGTCGATTCGAGTTTCAGCTTACGACAGGCGGTTGTTATGTTGAGCAACCCTATCCTTCACCTCCCTTATCTCTTTCCCGAAGGTAGCGTGAAGGTCCTTCATGAGGAGCATCTGCTCTTCCTTATCGCGTTTGAGCTGTTCTTCCAAACTACAGGCCTGTTCCCCCTTTCCCCGCTGCAGCTGCTCTTTCAACCGACAGGCCTGTTCCTCCTGTCGGCGGGCCTGTTCCTGCAGCATCATCATCAGAGCACCTAAGTCAAATACTGCAGATGCAGGAGCTGCTGACGGGCCGGCCTCCGTGGTCTGCAGCTGGCCATCCTACGTCTGCGGCGCTGCATCAACAAGTCGTCTCTGGTGCGTCTCCTGCTGGCATTGACTTCTGGTACGGATACCCTCCCTGTCGTCCTTAAGTAAAATCGGCATAATTTGATCCCACTTCTGACACCAATTGTTACGAGCTTGGGGTTCGAGACAATTAAAAACTACCGAGTGAATTACCAAAATGGACACTTTAAATACAGAACACTAATTACCACTCAAACAATTACCAACCCACTGATAACAAAACACAATTGTACTACTGATCACTTTAGTTCGCAGTTGCATTGCTTCGAAGTATTCGCTTGTATCACCAATTCAATACTGACCGGGTCGCGGTCTATACCGGCCTTATATAGGGCCTCAGGTAGTTTCCAGAACCTTCTACTATAGAAACTTCGAGAATGTTCGAGTACATATTGGTCCCGATTGACTAGGTGTTTAGTTATAGAAAGTTCTTCCATGGAAATTTCTAGAATGTTCTTGACACTCCTAGTTCTGCTAGTCGATACTAGAGGGCGCTAGTGATAACTAACGTTGCCATGTGTCTAGTAATTGACATACATATATGCCAATCATTATATTGTCAAACAAATTAAAGTATAGTCATTGGCACAATTAAAAAAGCCGATGCTTCTTTTTCACAACGACAAAATAACTTTTAATATGCTTTAATAACGTAAATTGATAAAAATGGAAAGTTGCAAATAAACTTACCTAAAAATTAATTTTTTGTCTCAATATCTAGCCACAAAACCTTAAGTTTTTGTTAAATTTTAACGGATTTGTCCAAACACATTTTAAAAATATCTCTTATAGGAAAATAGTTGACGGTTTAAATATAAATATGTATAAGAATATATGTATGTATCCTAGCAATATCTGTGTTGCTTCGATATAGAAAAAGGATAACGTTCTTAATATTGAGATTAAACCAGCAAAGTGCTAATTATATTGCCAATATTAGTACTGTTTACCCTACTAGATATATTGTACTACCTACTAGATATGTGTAACTAGTGTTAAAGGGTGTGTGTGTATAGGGACCTGGTTTCCTGTGCGAGACGAGCAGGTAGAGCGCCAGCAGGAAGGCGAAGGTGAGCAGTGCAGTGCCCCACGACACCACGAACATGATCGCCACGCACAGCGCCGCGCCCACCAGCGACAGCCACTTGTTGTACAGCTGCCACCAAGCACACGGTTACCGTTACCGTTACCTTACCGTTACACCATATAAAAGTCTACTGCTGAACATAGGCTCAATAGATTACCTCATAAGGTATATTTGCCATAGTGACCCGCTTGGCAAGCGGGTTGCAAACAATTTTTTAATTTGAATTATTACTAGGAAGACGCTGCTGCCTCTAACTAGGGAGACGCTCCTGATTTGTTTCCCTCTGTCGCCTCTTACGACAGCCACGGAATACACGGTAGGTTACAATACACAACATCCCACAAGCTGCTTCTTCTTCATTTTTATAGAATAAAGGTGATGATCACACACACACACACACAGTTTTGGTGGTAAGTGCCTAAGTGCCTTCTGTGGCCCATAGACATCTTCATTTATCCTCGATTAATAATCAAAATGCAGATGCGTTGTCATCATGTAAGATGGAATACCTCTTTTCCAGTAAAAAGAGTGCCCGGTCCGCGGTTGTGTGTACAATCTGAAATAAAAAGATCAAAGACAGCAGATTTGTGGAGGGACCTTTAGTATGTTAACCAAACTCACCCTGAATGTTGGCCGCCATCCGACCGGTTTTGCGAGACTAGCGTGGAATGTGGAAAAGTTGATCAGAGCGTACGCGGCCAAGAAGAAGTTGGAGATCAGCGGCGCTATCTGGTTCAAACCACCTGCGAATATCAACGAGCTCAGTATATTAATACCGTTACAACTTATTAAAAGTTCTCTGCTGAACTTTGCGAAGTTGTCACGCTTGATAAGCGAGTTGGCAACCGCAGATTTTTATTTTAGTTGTTATTATGATGTCGTCATCACCCATCTCCTGGTTGGTTTCCCTCAATCGCCCCTTACGACACCCACGGGACGATAAGGGATATTCACACTGAAATGCTATCGATAAGATAAATTTGGCGGCGACAGTAGCCTAATGGTTAAGGGTTACGAACCGTAAACTTGAAAGATATAAGTACGATTCCGCCATTCGACTATTGTCATGAACCAATTCTAACACAAGCATTTTCAAGTCTACTTAGAGTGGATAAAGGGAGCTTTACTAGTAACTTACTTTTACAGCAGCTTAGGGAGGGTTGAAGTGGAAGGAGACGAAGACTTTTTCCTATATTACTTTTATTTTCTAACTTGCAACTTAACTACTGTGACTATGTGAGTTCACAGGAATACTAGACTACCTAACATACAAGCTAACTTAACTACTACTGGGCTGTTTTAACAATTAAGCCCTGGGTATTATACTATGATAGATATTCTTAAGTCACGTAAGTAAATTGAGTCACGTCTTTGAAGACGTACTGCTATTTGCTTAGCAGGCGGTGTCGTATGGTAGATTACTACGTGTTTGCATGCAAGGTCTCGGTAGGCATATGTAACTAGTATTCTACAAAAAAAAAATAACAATAAGAAATAAGTTTGGAGAATTTCGATTCACTTCCGTGTTACAAACACTAAAAGTTCAGTTTCTTTTAAAGTTGGAATCAAAACTTATTTCCAATCAGTCTCATTTAAACTGACGTAAACGTCTAAGACCAGTGGTAGATTTACCATACCAAAGGATCTGTAACTAAGACCTTTTCAGAGAAGGCTACCTCCTACGTCCGATAATCAGTAGAGAATACCGCATGCAGATGAGTACTGTGACTGTAAAGATTGTGACTGTAGAGATCTTAATTTATAATTTTGTCAAGTGTCTAGCTAAACACTCACCCATAAGAATGAAAGCGGTTGCGATGATGAACGTGAGCACGTATCCCCGGACAGGCTCGTTGTTGCTGCCGTAGCCCTTCGCGAAGAACTCCAGATACGGGTACAACTTATCCTGGCATAAAGCCTAATGAAACAAAGCAACATTTTAAGATTATAATCTAATACGGAAAAGAGACAAATAGAAAGAAAAAGCGAGATACAGACAAAGGCAGATAAATGATGATTACCTCTTATCCACATAATGAAAATAATTTATTAGTTTATTTTGTATTACGTTTATAGGGCTTGTAAATCTTAATAATTTAAAATTAAAAATTTTGTAACATAAAACAAAAACATACAGTCGAATTGAGTACCGGCGCCTTTTTGAAGTCGGTAGAAAAGAAGGAAATATATTGCCGTCTAGTGGCGATGTACAGACAGACAGTTTTAAATGACACAGGGAAGGGCCTGCCAAGCGTGGCAACTGTGGCCAATACTCCCCCCCCCCCTCCCTCTATAAGACAATGGTTTAAGTGGTTTAAGAAATTTATTTCCCAAAAGAGTATACACTCACTTACTGAGAAACTTAAAAGAAAGCACATCTGTGGACTTACGTTAAGTATTAAATAAGAATAATATACAATCTTGCACAAAATACAAAAAACACTGAGCGTAATTTAAGGATATTTCAAAGGCGCTTATAAGCATAAAGTGAATCAACTCGGCGACTAGACGGAGCGTTGGGACGCGGTATGAAGGAGAGCGGAGTCCCCCCCCTGCTCGCGATGTTGTTGTAGTACCGGTCGGCTTCGCTTGCGTACCGGTACGCCCGTTTAGGAGTGTCACGTACACTGAATTAGTTGCCCAAACGCGGGGTTCACCCACCAACACGATATTACTCGGTATTATTTTGAAATATTGGAAAAGATTGTATGACGCCTTAAGTAAAATTTAATTCTAATAACCATGTGATTGTTTTTCATCATGGTTTTAATTAAATTATATGTAATAATGAGAATAAATATATCATTAAATTAAATAAAAGACAATTAAAAAAACTCAATAATAAATGTCGTAAATATTTGTCGGTTTGAAAGAAAGAAAGAAAAATTATTTATTACATCAAACACCAACACACATGTTACAAAAGATATTATGCACTAAAAAACTTATAACTACAGATCAAAACAAAATTAAAACATAAATAAAATCATTACAATCAAAATTTCATTATATGTGTGGGTTTGGTATAAAAGGGCTACACTCAGCATTATTTCGTGGTATTATCCACGAAGCTGGTTTTCAGTGCGCCCTCTAGTGAGTAACGTACGGTCGAATATGCAACAACCAGTACCACTATTACAACGCTACACTTGTTGCACCTAAAACACATGTTTTATTTATTCTGTTCAAATTATCCCCTATTCAATATTTTAAGCGAAATAACTGAGATACTGCTATATAGGTAAAATTAGGTAGATACCCACTGCCTTTGTTCAGCCGAATCAGCTGAAGCTGCGAAACGCAACTAGTTTTGTAAAGTAGTAATTACTTTGTAACTTTGTATAAAAAAAATATTAAGAGCAATACAGATAAAAGTTATTAGCTCTTGTTTGTATATCTCTGTTTAGCCTAATGATTGACTGGGAGAGAATGCCCTATGGCATTAAGTCCGCCATATGTACAACTTTGTGCATGAAAGATTAAATAAATAAATAAATAAAATAAAATATAATGTTATGATATTATTACCTAAGAAAGTGTTTTTGTGACAACCCTTGCCTATTTTTGGCGACTAGACGTCGAGACATCCTTGTAGGTATTTTTCGGTATAACAAAAGGTGGGTCAACTCACTGTTAGTATTTATTACACAGTTATTATTAGTAAGTACAAGCAAAAACATAGCGCCAAACTTCCAGTACAATAACCCGTTAAAGCACGCGAAATAAGATTAAATAGACTTGTTAAGAAATTTGTTACTACTAGTAAACCTTTCGTGAATTACTAGTTATTATGTATATTGTGATAACCTGTTAATTATTATATTATATGTAGGATACATTAATTTTATGATTATAAAAATGTGCATTTGTTTATTTTAGGTACATATATAATATTTTCTTATACGTGGTAGAGCCATGCTGCAGCTATTAGTAGTATAGTTGTAGCACGAATGGGTCGGCTCAACCGGGGAAGGACCACGCTCTCACAGAATTCCAGCGTCAAATAGCAGCTTATCGCTGCTGTGTTTCGTATGGTAAGTGCAGAGAACCGGAGACCCTTTTTACTGGAAACGAGGCATTCCATCTTAGTCCTCACGGGTGGCAACGCATCTGCATTTTGATTCGCAAACGAGGATAAATGTAGATGTCTATGGGTCACAGCAACCACTTACCATCAGGTGGACTGTGTGCTCGTTTGGCACCATATACTATAAAAAAAGATTTGAAATATTTTGTAATGTTCAAAAAAGTACATTTCAATACCGTATGTCAAAAAATAGTACAGTTCATTTTGTATCACTTACTTGAAAAACTTTAGGCGCGGAAACAAGCGAAGCCAGTGCGGAAGATAGTGTAGCAGCGAAACAGCCGCCATAGATTAGCGGACCCCACCCCGACACCAGCCTGATTACCTGCACAGATAAGAAATACAATTCTAAAATTATAAAGCGGCGTATGTAAAATGACGTATGATTTACCGTGTAGTGGCGGTGTAAGAATATCCACTACCCCATATCATCCCGTGGGTTTCGTAAGAAACGGCAGAGGGAAACAAATCTTAAGATGAGCAGCAGCGTCTTTCTAATAACGACTAAAATAAACCTAGCAAGCTAACAGCATAGCAAAGTGGCGAAGCAATCAGCTTTGTAGCGGTTTCTAACGGTTGCCGTTGAGCAATCAGTTTCAAAATAGGAGGTTCAGATGCCTGGGTGATCAGTAATCGATTGCTGAACACAGAATTTGAAAATTCTAAACCGTTCTCGAGATAATCGTGGGACAGACGGACAGACGGACAGACATCGTGAAATCAATAAGTGACTTCGCAAGCTTCGCCACTTAATAAAAGAGAGGAGTTGTCAGCCCGCTTTCAAAGCGCTGCAACTATGACACATACCCTGCGGCAATCTATGGAGGAGACTTTATTTCAGCAGTGGACTTCAATAGGCTGTTAAATGAAACTTATTTTTACGGATATTATCGCGTTTAATTTATTTTTTTAATTCCCGACGTTTCGGGGTTAGCCCGGCTACCTTCAGTTTGGCCGATCTACGAACAATGAGTTTATAGTATCTTGAAGTCTTGCAGTGGTATGCTTGGGTTTGGATTTCATTTTATTAATTATAGGATCACAAGCAGATAGCAGCACCCATCCATCTTCTCTATTGAAATTATGATGGTTTTATAATTCTCAGTTTTACCTAATGTGTGGTGTAATTAAATTTTGGATGTTAATGATGGATACCTAGCTGCAACACCAAACTGTATCCCCCGATTTTGTTATCATCAGTTTTCTGAATTGTCTTCCACTATGGAAACAAATTTAAGACGTATTCATGTCAAAATGTTCTACGCCTCGTTATGGCTTCTTGACTGGGTCCAGCCCGTTCACCACGTGTCGCTCTCTTGCTCCCACTCCCCTAACACCTACTACACACAGTACACTGGGACACCTGGCGGACGCACTCACGTCGTTGCTGTTGTGCAGTCCATACGGGCAGCTCCTGTTGGCCGCGCAGCTGGCGAGGCTCCAGTCCTGCAGTGCGGCCACGTCTCCCGAGGCATCCCTCAGGACCGTCCAGCCCGCCACCACCGCTATCAACATGTACGATAGCGTGGTCAACAGGATAGCCAGTAGGGTGCCTTTCGGGATGGACTTCTGAGGGTCCTGTAAAATGAATTCAAAACATCTGTCAAAATTGAGCACTATCCGCATATCTGACAATGCGATAGCCTCCCGAATTTACACATGGCCAAATACTCAAGCTCGACTCAATTTTAAGATGTCGCTAAGTCTTGAGATGTCACAGTCACTTTGACTGAAAGTGAAAGGGGCAGGACGAGACTTAACGGCATCTTAAACCTAAAACCTAGCTCCTAATCCTTCTTTCTTTGGAAGCCAGAAACTATCTGACAAACTCTTTACATAGGATAAAATTCGCACAGAAATCAACAATTTTTAAATCATTTAGTTTAAAAAAAATGTTTCAACTTAAAACTTTAAATATTTGTAATAATTGTCATTCATAAACTATGTTTTATTAAAATAATTTATTACTTTTTGCTCTGTAATGAGTATAATTAATCATATTGCGTGTCTCACACCGATATTTAGAGACAATCTTGACTATAAACTAAAATCTTCAGAATGTCAAAATATAGTCTAAGACTAATTTTACGGATTTTATCACGTATATTATAACTTATTTTATATTCCCGACGTTTCGAGCACTTTACAGTACCCATGGTCACAGGGGGGACTGAGGTGTATGACGTCCCAATGTCATAGTTAACCTCGGCTACCTCCAGATTAAAAAAATATTAATTTTTGTTCCGATCTACGCAGTATGAACTTACGACGCTCCGGGAAGCCTGCAGTCCGTGAACACGTACAGGATCGCTCCCGTCACTACACCACAAATCCTCGCTAAAAAACACAGATTCCTTCCAAAGATGATTCGCGAGGCTATTGAAATAAAAAAACATCCTAATTTCAATAGAGAAGATGGCTGGGTGCTACCATCTGCTTGGGATCCCATAATTAGTAAAATTAAATCCCAACCCAAGCATACAACTGCAAGACTTCAAGATACTGGTAAGTTCATACTGCGTAGATCGGAACAAAAATTAATAATTTTTAATCTGGAGGTAGCCGTGGTTAACTATGACATTGGGAAGTCATACACCTCAATACCCCCCCCCCCCCATGACCGTGGTGCTGTAAAGTGCTCGAAATGTCAGGAATATAAAATAAGTTAATATACGCGATAAAATCCGTAAAATTAGTTTTATTTAAATGTGTAGTGTCAGCGTAAATATAAGAAATCATTATATAGTTTAGGCTCAGATTTAGCCTTTGAATATCAGGTTGATTTAATATGTACAGATTTTAGCGAGGCTTTTTATCGTATTTACCATACATTCTGCTACAAAATATCTTAAAATGGGTAGTATAACCAGGCCTCTGTCACTCTTGCTATCTGTGTGAAATAATTACCCACAAGGCGCCCCGGGCTACACACGCAGTCGGATTGAATGTTAAAGTTTAAATAATTAATTATGAAAACTAAGTATGTATAGACAAAAACTTGCTTTATTAGAGCAGCCCGCTGTTTCAATTCAATTTCATTAGCAATAGATACTGATTTATGTGTGTAATGCAACCGAATCATCTGAAAAATCTGAATATGTTTTTGCCAAGAACTATATATATTATAATCAAAATATATATAAAGAAATAAAAATAAGATCAGAATCGTCAAAAAAATAATAATACGCAAAGATAATCCTAATAAATTGATATTTTTTTTTCTATCCCAAAGACAAAGTTTTTGGGCGTAAATATAAAACAGAAAAATAGTTTTTTTTTTTTTAAATATGATACACAAGACAAAAGCATATTTCGAATAATTTCGGTAGAATTACCAACCTTAAGGTCACCGGATATATTGGCTCCAGCCAATATTCCAGTGGCTGCGGGGAAAAATATAGAGAAAACCGAGAAGAAATTGTGCTCAACTCCTTCGAAGTACCTGTAGTCGGACGCCATATTTTTCTGAAGCACAGATACTGAAAATGCAATCGGAAATTAATGCTTACTCACCATTATACAAGGTTATTTTTCAAAGTGTAGCCAAATTTTAAACTTATCTTCAAATATAATAAATAATGATATACCGTTATTGCAGATTTTGTAAATACGAGCAAAACAGATTTCTACTTTTATTTGAAATTATCCCAAATTGAATGTGATTTATGGGCAACAACTAAGCGTACGCGCGCTCCTCTGTGTGCGATTCAATTCACAACGTCTTTACCGACCGATCGACCCTTACGAAAGTTTACGTGTTTAGTAAAATAGTAGGCGTTAGATATTTATGAATGACAATCAGTTATAATAATGCAATATGAATGACAATCAGTTATAATATATTTTTTTATTTTTTTTTTTCACCATTTGTCCATATTATTTAATCTGAAACTTCTCTGCAAATTCGGCCGGTTATTGCAAAATAAGCCTGTATATGTGATTACATAATAAGAGATTTAAAAACGTATGCAGTTCACACGCGGTAGAAATGAAACCTTCAGAAAAAGTATATTTTCTTTCGAGTGAAATTGCTTTGTAATAGCGCTATTCTACTTTATTCTATAGGTAGTCATTTAATGGAACAAAAATTCATTGACTCTCAAGTTGGTACGTAAAATAGACGCTAGATGGCGTAAACAAGACTAATTAATAAATAAAGCGGTAAATACTGTATTCTATCTCATTTTGTCGAAGGTTAAAATCTATAGATGTATACATTTATCTCTTTCTAGTGCCGCTTTTCCGTTTCTTCGAGTTTCATATAACAACGATACTAAAAAACTTTTCACTTCAATAAGCGGCCAAGTGTGAGTCGGACTCGCCCATGAAGGGTTCCGTAGCAGAAAGTAACATAATTTACGATTTATGACGTTTAAAAAAAACTACTTACTAGATCTCGTTCGAACCAATTTTCGGTGGAAGTTTACATGGTAATGTACATCATATATTTTTTTTAGTTTTATCATTCTCTTATTTTAGAAGTTACAGGGGAGGGGGCACACAATTTACCACTTTGGAAATGTCTCTCACGCAAACTATGTAGTTTAGAAAAAAATTATATAAGAAACCTCAATATCATTTTTGAAGACCTATACATAGATACCCCACATGTATGGTTTTGATAGAAAAAATTTTTTTGAGTTTCAGTTCTAAGTATGGGAAACCCCCAAAATTTATTGTTTCTTTTTTTCTATTTTTGTGTGAAAATCTTAATGCGGTTCACAGAATACATCTACTTACCAAGTTTAAGAGCATAGTTCTTATAGTTTCGGAAAAAAGTGGCTGTGACATACGGACGGACAGACAGACAGACATGACGAATCCGTAAGGGTTCCGTTTTTTGCCATTTGGCTACGGAACCCTAAAAACTAATCACTTTTATTCCCGTGGGTAGTATAAATATCGGCTAAGCGTCAAACAGATTAAAGTAATATGCAAACTAAAAGTTTAACCAAATGTTATTAATGGTGGAAGAAAAGAACGGGATCTTAATGTAAAATGTTCCGAGGCGCAACCGTAAAGCAAACCAATCAATTTAGAAGTGTATTTACTAATAAAATTTAATATGTAAGTTGATGTAATTTTAACGGTGGTAGAGCCTTGCAGCAGCTTTTGCTGTTGCACGTATGGGCCGGCTCGAGCCGGGTTAGTACCACGACCTCACAGAATACCGGCGTGAAGTGGAAGCTCTGCTTCCGCGTTTCGTCTGGTGAGTGCAGGTGACCGGAGGCCCAATTCCCCCCCCCCCCCCCCCCATCAACATGGTAGCGGAATTACGTCATAAACTACCCCAGGAGGGTACCAGTACCCCTGGAGAATCCCTCGCTGAGCATCCACGACCATGCTATTCCACTCCTGAGCGTGGGTGCTCAGGCTGCCCCGCGTATTCTGGGGGGGGGCAAAATTCCGCTCAACACAATAACTGCTCGGGGCAAACTGAGCAACAAGACCAAGGCGACCCCTGCCACGCTATCCGTGAATTTCTGCAACATCAGGGGACTTCACTCGAACCTAAACGCCGTCCACTACCATCTTGAGACGGCGAAGCCGGCCTTGCTCTTTCTGACCGAGACGCAGGTGTCCTCTCCGGCTGATACTTCGTATCTCTCCTACCCGGGGTACAAATTGGAGCACTCCTTTGTGCCTCGGGCTGGAGTTTGCGTGTATGTCAGAGAGGACATCTGTTCTCGACGCCTCGGCAGTCTTGAAGGTTCGGACCTGCCCATCCTTTGGCTACGCGTAGACAGCGACGACCATCCGCGCGTCTACGTGTGCCTCTATAGGTCCCATAGCGGTAATGCCGAAACAGACCGACTCATCGACCACGTCCAAATGGCTACAGATTCCTTGCTACAACAGGTCCCATCCGCAGAGATCGTGATCCTTGGCGATTTTAACGCCCACCACGCCGAATGGCTCGGTTCACGTTTAACCGATCATGCGGGGAGATCTGTTTATGACTTTGCCTTGGCATATGGTCTGACACAACTGGTTACATCGCCTACGCGGATTCCAGATGTTGAGGATCATACACCTTCCCTGTTGGAACTTCTGCTGACCTCTCATCCGGACGTATATCAGGTTTCCGTCGATGCCCCTCTTGGCTCTTCGGACCATTGTCTGATCCGGAGTGTGGTGCCACTCACGCTCCCCTCGCGGTTGCGTTCTGCATGTTGCCGCCGTGTTTGGCATTACAGGTCGGCGGATTGGGACGGAATGCGGTCTTTCTTTGCTTCCTACCCATGGGGGCGGGTTTGCTTCTCGCCGGACGATCCCAGCGCTGTTGCTGACTCTGTCACTGATGTGGTGCTACAGGGAATGGAACTATATATCTATATTCCATCATCTGTGCTACCCATCGGAGGCAGATCTCAGCCTTGGTTTGGTCGCTCCTGTAAGACTGCATTACGCAGTAAGCAGGAGTGTTATCAAGCCTGGGCTGCGGCTTCGGTGACTCGGGATGTAAACACCAGCACGCTCAAAAAGAAGTATAACTTCGCCTCCAGGTCCTTCAAAAGAGTTATTGCCAAGGCAAAGTCAGAGCACATAGGCAGAATTGGCGAGAAACTAGTACGCCTTCCTTCGGGAACCCGTGCATTCTGGTCTCTCGCCAAGGCTGTTCAAGGGAATTTCTGTAAGCCATCACTACCATCTCTGCACAGGGAGGACGACTCACTGGCCCACGACGCAAAAGAGAAGGCCGACCTTTTAGGCTCCCTTTTTGCGTCCAACTCGACTGTTGATGACGGGGGGAACACACCACCGACCATCCCGCTGTGTGAGTGCTCCATGCCGGATGTGCGGTTCTCACAGCGCTCGGTTCGCAGAGCACTCCTCTCCCTTGACATCCACAAGTCGAGTGGGCCTGACGGAATCCCCCCAATTGTGCTGAGGACGTGTGCTCCGGAGTTGGCACCGGTTCTAACGCATCTTTTCCGGTACTCCTACTCCCTAGGCGTAGTCCCGAAATCATGGAAGACAGCTTTTGTCCACCCGATCCCTAAAAAAGGCGACCGCTCAGACCCGTCCAACTACAGGCCTATCGCCATTACCCCCTTGTTCTCCAAAATAATGGAATCCGTTGTAAACTGCCACCTCATGCGGTACCTTGAGGATCACCAGCTGATTAGTGACCGCCAGTACGGTTTTCGTCGGGGTCGATCAGCTGGTGATCTTCTGGTCTACTTAACTCATAGATGGGCGTTGGCAGTAGAGTCCAAGGGGGAGGCATTGGCCGTTAGTTTGGACATTGCGAAGGCCTTCGATCGGGTTTGGCACAAAGCGCTTCTTTCGAAGGTCCCTTCCTATGGGCTTCCCGAGAAATTATGCAATTGGATCACCAGCTTTCTTGCAGATCGGAGCATCTAGGTCGTTGTAGACGGTGCATGCTCCGACTACAAGCCTATTAACGCTGGTGTTCCACAAGGCTGCGTGCTATCACCAACGCTGTTTCTTCTGCATATCAATGATATGTTGCAAGCCGGTAGCATTCATTGCTATGCGGATGACAGCACTGGTGATGCTCTCTACACCGGCCGTGCCAATATTTCTCGGGAAAACGTCACCGAGTACCGGAACAAACTTGTGTCTGAAGTCGAGTCTTTGCTGGACAAAGTCTCGGATTGGGGGCGACTAAATCTAGTCCAGTTTAATCCTCAGAAGACACAAGTTTGCGCGTTTACCGCTAAAAAGAACCCCTTTGTCGTATCTCCTCAGTTTCAAGGTACTCCCCTTGTTGCCTCAGCCAGTATCGGAATCCTTGGCGTCGACATATCGAGTAGCGTGCAGTTTCGTGGTCACTTGGAAGAAAAGGCCAAATTGGCCTCTAAAAAGCTTGGCGTGCTCAGTAGAGCGGGACAGTATTTCATGCCGGCTCAACGCCTGCAACTTTACAAGGCGCAGGTTCGGCCTCACATGGAATACTGTTCCCATCTCTGGGCTGGGGCTCCCCAGTGCCAGCTTCTTCCACTTGACCGCATCCAGCGCAGAGCGGCTCGAATCGTCGACGACCGAGTCCTTTCCGATCGGCTCGACTCATTGGCACTGCGAAGAGATGTTGCATCTCTTACCATTTTCTTTCGCATTTATCATGGGGAGTGCTCTGAGGAATTGTTCGGATTAATCCCAGCCGCCAAATTCCACGAACGCACATCGCGGCAGAACTCCCGATACCATCCACATCATCTGGATGATTGGCGGTCCACCACTGTGCGATTTAGAAGATGTTTTCTTCCTCGCACAACTTCTTTGTGGAATAGTTTACCACCAGCGATTTTTCCGGACCGATACGACTTAGGGACCTTCAAGAAAAGAGCCTACTCCTTTTTAAAAGGCCGGCAACGCATCTGCAATTCCCCTGGTGTTGCGGTTGTTCATGGGCGGCGGTAGTCACTTACCATCAGGTGAGCCGCATGCTCGTTTGCCCCCTCTCCTATAAAAAAAAATACGATATTAACTCACAGTTATAGCCGATGAATCCTTGCGCAACTTCTAGGTCGCTCTTTGGACCAATAAACGATCCGATGAGGAAGTCCGCAATGGCCGCCAAGAGAATTATCAACAGAACTATTTGAGCTTTCGCCTCCCACTCCATTCCTACCATCACAATACCGGTCAGGAGCACTATCGTTATACAACCGTAAATTGCTTGGTCCTGTAAACAAAGGTGCACATGTCATTTTCGATTTTCTAAATAGAAAATGGTATGGTTTTTTTTAACCAATTAAAACGTAATAACACATTACCTGACAGTCTTGTTATGTGGAAATTATTTTATTATTTTTAGAGCTATGAAGTCGGCTTTTACTTATTATTAAACGTTTAATAAAGACTTTTACCGTGTACTGACGGTGTAGGAATATCCACCACCCCATATCATCCCGCGGGTGTCGTAAGAGGTGAGGGAAACAATTCAGGAGATGGGCAGCAGCGTCTTCCTAATAACGTATAAAAATAAAAACCTGCGGTTGCCAACCCGCTTGCCAAGAGTAGAGGTCTGTTCAGTCATGTTCAGCAGTGGACTTTAATAGGATGTAACGGTAAAAGTTTAATTTTAGTAGCTGTGTCTCGCCAGCAACGCAAATTCAGGAATTTGCATTTATAAAAACCCAAAATTAGAGGCTTTTTAGGTGCTAATTAGGTGCCAAGTTTAAAAATTATGTGCTCTAATATTTTCACCGCAACGAACTGTAGAAATTTGCGTTGCTGGCAAAATGTATCGCTAGCAACGCAGTGACGATAATAGATATACGATAAATTTTAAAGCAAGGAATTAAGTGCTGAAAGATTATTGAGGTCGGATGTAGATGACGGTAATATTCTTGGAATTACCGGGTCTAGGACCACCATTACCTTACTATAAGGTTTTTTGTTAGTTATATATATTATAATAGATAAGATAGATCGAATCTGTACAAAAACCGAATCAGAATGCTCCGACTCTACGTAGTCGTGTCTGCCCTACCCCTAGTGTTTTTGTAAAGCCGTAGGCGCGGAGGGAGACCAATCCACACCTACTGTGGCAAATCGCAGGCATCTGTGCGAGCCGCAAAGGCTGAGGCTGGTCGCCGAAGGTGACCAATAAGCCAAAGCTACGGAGGTGAGCATGCGTGCCTGTGATTTGCTACGCAAGGGCGAAGGGGCTGCACTCCCCGCAGCGCCGAAGCCATTGCAGAAGTAACTATGTCAATATTCCATTCTAAAAAAGTAAGGTTATGATTATACCAAAAAATATGACTCATAAACTGACATTTCCGCAAGGGGGGAAGGGTAGGGGGGCTTCCACAGAACCCCCCTACCCTTACCCCCTTGGGTTTTTCTAAATGCAATCCTGACTTTGCGTTGCTGGCGATACACAACTAATTTTAGCGATAACAACTCACCCAGCTTTTGTCAACCATATAAGCGGACTCTGGTATGAGCGTAATGAGGGATTCCCCAAATCCCACCACGTACATGGCGCACGCTACGGCGTTTGCCATCGCAAAGATCAGACCGATGGAGCCGCCAAACTCGGGGCCCAGCGACCGGGATATCATATAGTATGTGCCACCTGGACAAACACGTAAATTTATGAAAACCACAGTAAATAACAAGAAAACAATAAACACTTTATAAAATTGTTTAGGGTTATATGATGTTCACTAAATGAATATTTTCTGAAACAAAACAAAAAATAAGTGATATTCATTCTGTAAATACTAGGAACAGACACAAGCTGCCAGTTACTCGACTCCACCGAGTCAGTAATTCATTCTTGTGGCGATATATATATACCATTAAACAACAAACTACGAGAAAACATACAAAATTTGACCAGCTCATAGTTCAAAAGCTTTATTAAACTAAATTTAAAAATGGGTTCTTATAATATTAAGGAATTACTGAATGATAATAACCCTTGGGAATGAGGTGATCGTTACCAGGATATTTCTAATTTGTTTTGTGTTGTTAATTGTGTAACATACGTGATTGTAAGCTGTTATTTTTTAAAACTTTTTCCGAACCAGTGGTAATTAAACATAAGAGTCAATGAGTATTATTTATAATTTACATTGAATTAAAAATTCTGTTTCTATCTAGAAATCTGTCTAGGTGATTACCATCCTTTTGCTGTGGTTCGTTTAGAAGCAAAAGGCAGATTGTAATTACAGAATGTGAGGCATTTAGATAGACAGTTCTAAAAAGAAAAGAGCGAGACAACGGCCAGATGTATATTAACACTAAGTTCTTCGAGCTATTTTTGAACCACACTCCCGGACATTGAACCAGACTTTTAGGCAGAAAAGGAAACCTATCATAGCGAAAATAACAAGTATTTTTTTTATAGAATAATGGTGACAAACGAGCACACAGTCCACCTGATGGTAAGTGGTTGCTGCGGCCCATAGACATCTACATGTATCCTCGATTATGAATCAAAATGCAGATGCGTTGTCACCCGTGAGGACTAAGATGGAATGCCTCGTTTCCAGTAAGAAGGTTTTCCGGTTCTCTACACTCACCATACGAAACACAGCAGTGTTAAGCTGCTATTTTACGCTGGTATTCTGTAAGAGCGTGGTCCTTTCCAGACCGAGCCGACCCATTCGTTCTCTAAACTATAACTGGAGCATGACTCTCCCACGTATAAAAAACTTATAAATATGCAATAAATAATAATATGTAACAATAATCAACAAGCCTTCAGAGTAAAGATGGCGTTTTATTCTGAAAAATGTTACGTTCGCGTATAAGGTACATATTATGTAAACAAAAACTACTTTAGCAAAAACTTACCCCCTTTTATGACACCATTAGTACTGATGGCAGACATGGAAAGTGCCGTGATGGTGGTGACAACCGAAGTTGTCAAGATAAGTAATATCGCTTGAACTGTAAATGATAAAAAATAAACATTATTATTGTTTTCTCTTATTGGATTAAGAACCCGCAAGGTTCATATCTCACAGATGAAATAATGTAATCACGTACAAATTATGGTTTCATTGGCTTGAAATATATATATATCACAAGCCCACTGTTGTAAGCTGTAATGTTTTGTAACACTTCGTCCTTTGTAATGCTTATAGAAAGGGTGTGAAATTATTTTATAGCCTCTGTATTTCTGTCTGATTACAATGAATTTTTCGGTGTCTTCAAGCAAAATTAAATAGGCTTTTGTTACGCTAACATAGTTCACCATCTAAAGCTTCATCACTTATCATCAGCCGGTATAAATACTACAGTTAGCGAATAAGGCGTTCAGGTGGAATTGCGGAAGCACTGACTTATAATAATTTAAAAAAAAAGTCTGTGAAAACTATCTCAAGGCATCTGAATCGATCGTCTCCCTGTATGTCTAATGCATATCAATCAGTGCCTCGATCGTTGGATATAATTAAAAGAGTGCAGTTGAGGTAACAGTTTGAGAAGAATTAAATTGCCATAAGAAGTTTGATCCCTCTAAAGGCCCTGATCCACGGGCGAGCTTTACCGCAGTTTTACCGCGGGGCTCGTTGGTAGAGTATCGCAAAATCGTGGTTTTATGAGCCGACGAGCTAAGCTCTCGGCTCGCCATCGTCTTATGAAATTTTAAAGGCTGCTACAACAAGCTGTTAGGATCGCCAGTAAATCAGGCAATACCAGCGTAATCTTTACTGCGAGTATATGGCTCGATCATCGATCCAGGCCTTTACAAACATAGCATTGGACTATATAGCTTAAAGTACATTTTAATAATATATTTATTACAAACAGACGACGGACGGCTCGGTAGCGCAGTGGTTAAGCATTTGGTTGGGGCATTGCAGCAGTGCAGGCGCGAATCCCACACGGAACGACTATTTCTATAACCTACAAATAATTGTACCGGGTCTGGTTGTTTGTCGATGTGCAGTTAATGTAATTCTGTACAGTGTTCATATCTTACTTTTTTTCTACATTCTGGATGTCTGCAGATAACTCACCAACTCCCGCCTGCCCCACGACCCACGAGAGCCGTAGAAACAGCATCACACCCCATATGTTGAGCAGGCATCGCATCAGAACGCCCTTGATCCAACCAAACTTCACGTTGGGAGTGGGCATTGTTCGATTCTCCATATCCTTCTCAAGGGCCTGGCCTGGCTGAAAGTATAGGCACTTGTTGGAAAACAAAAAAAAATCTAGAGACAAGGGCTAGTTTAGTGGATGAAATGAGGGGCTTAAAACGTAAGCTTGAATACTACTAAAGACTACGCTGATTTGAATACTATTAAAGACCATTTGTTAGCACAAACAGGCTTCAATGCATTGGCTAATTAAACTATTAGTAATGTTTTGATGGCTTTACTTTTGCTTCGCACGAGAGTTATATAAAAAAATGTGATTATCTTGCGTCATTAGGTACTAAGTAATTGAAACTAATTTTACGGATTTTATAGTGTTTTATTTTAACTTTTTTATTCCCGACATTTCGGGTGTTTAACAACACCAATGATAACGAAAAACCAAGCATAACACTGCAAGACTTCAAGATACTGTAAGCTCGTTCTGAGTAGTTTTATACGTGGTAAAGCCATGCTGCAGCTATATTAGTAGTATAGTTGTAGCACGAATCGGTCGGCTCGACCGGGGAAGGACCACGCTCTCACAGAATGCCAGCGTAAAATAGCAGCTTAATCCTGCTGTGTTTCGTATGGTGAGTGTAGAGAACCGGAGACCCTTTTTATTGGAAAAGAGGCATTCCATCTTAGTCCTCACGGGTGACAACGCATCTGCATTTTGATTCGTAAATGTGGGTGTCTATGGGCCACAGCAACCACTTACCATCAGGTGGACTGTGTGCTCGTTTGTCACCCTATCATATAAAAAAAAGTAGATCGGAACAAAAATTAATATTTACAAACTGAAGGTACCCCAGGTTAACTATGACATCGGGACGTCAAACACCTCAGTCTCCCCCATGATCATGGGTGCTATAAAGCACCCGAAACATCGGGAGTTATAAGTTAAAATTAAACGCGATAAAATTCGCAAAATTAGTTTCGTTTCATTTGTAACAATGTCAAAGTATACAGATGAAACTAAGATTTTCCATTTCGTCCCTTGGATATCCTAAGATGCGACTATAGTCCAACTAAATCCTAGAAAACTGTCATGACTTCCGATAAATGGCGGTTTAACTAAGTCGTTTGCGCCAGACGTAAATTATCAAGATCGGCAACAGAGAGCAGTGTCAAATATGCAAGTTGTCTGATACGATAGTCAAACCCAAGCCAAGCCAATTGTCAAGATTTGCCAAGGTTAAGGCAAATTCTCATAACGGTAAAGGCCTATGTGCAGCAGTTGTTACTTTTGCGGACTGTTTGAGAACGTGCTATAAATAAAAACGTTTAAAGCCAATGATGAAATCAACCACAGTCCTTTATAGAGTGGTAGGTGGCTACTGCAGCCCAGTGTAGTTTCCATCTCTGAGCCTAAACTATTAGACTCCCTCTATTATGTTCTGGCTCTGCATAACATGGCACACATTCAGACAGGATTATATTTTTTTATAGGATAAGGGTGACAAACGAGCACACAGTCCACCTGATGGTAAGTGGTTGCTGTGGCCCTTAGACATCTACATCTATTCTCGATGGAAAAACAAAATGCAAATGCGTTGTCACCCGTGAGGACTGAGACGGAATGCCTCCTTCCAGTAAAAAGGGTCTCCGGTTCTCAACACTCACCATAGGAAACTACTTTAAACACTGTTTTACGCAGGTATTCTGTGAGAGCGTGGTCCTTCCCCGGTCGAGCCGACCCATTCGTGCTACAACTATACTACTAATATAGCTTCAGCATGGCTCTACCACGTATAAAATTAGATATAAAATTAGATTATAGTAATGAATACACCGCTGCTTAGCTGCAGAAATAAGGAGCGTGACAGCTACCCTCGTAACCAGAAAACAGTAAAGTAAACAGAAAACAATTCTTACACATTATATAATCCAAAATATAACCTTAGATTAAATAAACACCGCCATCCATCGAAAGTGTTCCCACCTTGTCGGGACAGGCAGGGGACTTACAGCCGTAGTTTCGTCAGTCAAGGTTAGGTAATCTAAACCCACATGACTCGTCCAAAGTAGAGAGCCGACCTTAATTGGCCGCTCCAAGTGTCGAACAAGGCATTAAACGCTATAACTGGTTTCGTTAAATTAATTTGCTATCTTTTTACGTTATTAGTTGGCTTCTCACGCTTTTAACTTAATTAGTTACGTATTACAATCAAGGTCGTAATACCATGCAAAAACTATCTGTAATTGCCCGTTTTTATCCACGCAGCGTTCTTATATAACGCAAGATCTACCAACGTCCTCATCTACCGCCACTTCTGGACATTGGAAAAGCTATAGGGAAGGAAATGGATACGCCCTCAACACACAAAACCCAGAATTCATCCCGGAAAAACAGCGAAGTAATTTATACAATTTTATATATGACGATAAAGCAACACCAAAAATATTTAAACGTGGTAGATCCAACGTAACATAGTCAATACAACGTATGATTGCTGCAGCATAAATGGATTGGCTAGATCAGGGAAAGACCACGTTTTCTTTGGCAATGAGTGTTTACATGCTGCTTCATTAACTTACTTTACTTAAAGTTCACGCAATGGTGGTCGTCAAACTTACAGCTGCGGCATTCTTTCACTCTCAAGAACTTCCAAAAAAGTTTAATATTTTCCCTCTGTCGCCTCTTACGACACCCAATGGATGATACTGGGTAATGGATATTCTTACACCGCCAGCACACGGTAATGAACCAGGATATGGGCAGCAGAAAAATAAAAAGAAACTGCGGTTTCCAACCTACCTGCTACGCGTGGCAACTATGGCAAATATCCCCCCTGTGAAGCAATCTATAGTGGAGGCCTATGTTCAGCAGTGGACTTTTGATAGGCTGTTACGGATTTCTTCCCTTGTGCCTCATTTACATTCAGAACATAGTGTGAATTGAACACGAAAGTGGACAGTGCGACTATACGGGGTTATTTTACAATAACCGGCGAAATTTGCAGAGAAGGTTCAGCATAAGTAATATAAACAAATGGTTAAGAAAAATTAATTAAAAATCTGAAACATTCTGTCCTTTTTATCTTTTAAATTCATAATGCGTGGTAATGTATTATTTTAACTGATTGTCATTGATAAATATAATTTCCCTACACACGCACACATTCGTAAGGGTCGATCGGTCAACAATATCGTTGTGAATTGAATCGCACACAGAGAAGGATGCGTGCGCTTGGCAAGCTATATAGTTTTTTTATTCAGTTGTTATCAGAAAGATGTTGCTGCCCATCCCCTGGTCCAAATTCCCTCTGTCGCATCTTACGACACACACGGGTTGATATAGGGTAGTGGATTTTTTTACGACGCCATCACATGTCGATGGGACTCATGACAAATACTCAAACGCTACCCAATTTTAAGATGTCTTTAAGTCTCGTGGTGTCACAGTTACTTTGACTCAAAGTGATAGAGACAGCAATAGACTTAAGTTTGAATATTTGGACTTCAGTATGAAAGGTGCTCTTACAAGAAGTCATCAACGTATTAGTCATAGGGTCATTATGTCGCCGCCTACGGTATACGGTATACCACACTATTCTATAGCGCAACGATTGACCTCGGTATTTAATCACACGTAAGGGCCAAGAAGCTAAATCGATTGCATAATGCAATTAGTGAGCGTTATTAAATTAATAACATACAAGAAAAATTACATAGGGATGGGTAGTATTGAGTCACCCATTGAGTCAAACTCGCAAGAACGACCACGCTTGCAAAAGATACCTTTATACGATACGTTATGCTGCTGTAATTCTTTTTTTTTTATAGAATAAGGCGACAAACGAGCACACAGTCCAACTGATAGTAAGTGGATGCTGTGACCCATAAACATCTAGATTTATTCTCGATTAAGAATCAAAATGCAGATGCGTCGTCACCCCTGAGGACTAAGATGAAATGCCTCGTTTCCAGTTTAATCCTCAGAAGACACAAGTTTGCGCGTTTACCGCTAAAAAGAACCCCTTTGTCGTATCTCCTCAGTTTCAAGGCACTCCCCTTCTTGCCTCAGCCAGTATCGGTATCCTCGGAGTCGACATATCGAGTGACGTGCAGTTTCGTGGTCACTTGGAAGAGAAGGCCAAATTGGCCTCTAAAAAGCTTGGCGTGCTCAGCAGAGCGGGACAGTATTTCATGCCGGCACACCGCCTGCAACTTTACAAGGCGCAGGTTCGGTCTCACATGGAATACTGTTCCCAACTCTGGGCAGGGGCTCCCCAGTGCCAGCTCCTTCCACTTGACCGCATCCAGCGCAGAGCGGCTCGAATCATCGACGACCGAGTCCTTTCCTATCGGCTCGATTCATTGGCATTGCGAAGAGATGTTGCATCCCTTTGCATTTTCTTTCGCATCTACCACGGAGAGTGCTCTGAGGAATTGTTCGGATTAATCCCAGCCGCCAAATTTCACGAACGCACATCGCGGCAGAAGTCCCGATACCATCCACACCATCTGGATGATTGGCGGTCCACCACTGTGCGATTTAGAAGATGTTTTCTTCCCCGCACGACTTCCTTGTGGAATCGATTACCATCAGCGATTTTTCCGGACCGATACGACTTAGGGACCTTCAAGAAAAGAGCGTACTCCTTTTTAAAAGGCCGGCAACGCATCTGCGATTCCCTCTCTGGTGTTGCGGCTGTTCATGGGCGGCGGTAGTCACTTACCATCAGGTGAGCCGCATGCTCGTTTGCCCCCTCACCTATAAAAAAAAAGAAAAGAAAAGATATCCGGTTCTCTACACTAACCACGTGAAACACAGCAGCATTAAGCTGATATTTTACGCTGGTATTCTGTGAGGGCGTGGTCCTACCCCGGTCGAGCCAACCCATACGTGCTACAACCATAATATAGCTGCAGCATGGCTCTACCACGTAAATATTCTTTAGTGAATAAAGACAACTGGGGATCCTTTTTACTGGTAGCAAGGCATTCCACCGTTATTTCAGACTTCCAGGCTTCTTTTTTTCCCTTTGTTGGCCCGTAGAAGTCCAGAGCTAGATATTGGCCTCTCCCGTCGTA